AATATGTGAGTTACACTAGAAAGGGAAAATAACTTCGCAGCAAAGTGGTTTACTAACCCGTTAGCATCTAAACACGAACACACTGCTCATCTCCACGCTGCCTGCTCAGCTGTGGTGTGCACCCTGCTCCATGTGCTGCAGGGTGCACAACTTAGCCAGAGAATCTTTTTCTACATCCAGACATATCAGCGTGCAGTTTCATATATCGGATCGGCTGTAGGTATGGGAGCGTGTCTAGCCGCCAGTCTATCCGGTTCAGCTGTTCATTGTGGACCACACTTTGTTACATTTCACTGATATCTAAAAAAATAACTGAGCTACATACATGGTAATCCTCATTCAGCCTATGCTGACATTATTTTGCAAATTTAACCTCAGTATATAAAGAATTGGGAGACAGATATTGACTCATCACAGCTGAGGCTGCAGCTTGGATGTCATGATTCATCCGATTCACCAGGTTTGACAAGCTCGCCCGAAGGCCGTTTAAGCCCCACAAGTTCTATATACAGCTTACAACGCTGATGGCGGTAAACTTGAGCCACACTTTGACCTAAACAATGTGATACAGGCGTGTTCCTTCTTGTTCCAGGATGTGTTTCATTAACAAATACATGTGCAACTAGAGCACCAGCTGTATGAAGACATTGTAAGCACAAGTTAAATAAGCTTTTAAAAGAGCAAGGACCTGCCTGCTCGCCTGCTTGAGTCCTTACTCCACATCTCTTGGCTTTAAGCACTTTATGGAGCTAATTTCATTTCACGCATGCAGTCCTCACGGGAGAGACAATACTCTTCAGGGTCAGTAAGCACCGTGCCTCCTGAATGTGCTCGGGCTTTTTTTTTTCTTTCTTTTTTTTTAATTGCATCCAAATTAAAATGAACATCATTATTTTTATGCTACGCACTTTAATGCAATCAATAATCGAGAACGACACACATTGTTAGGCAGTTGGCTTGTATTGATCACTTCATGTGGATCCGGCCTAGAAAGTTATCCCAGCGCTACAGGCTCCACCGGATGGGGCTGATGTGGAAAAACAATCCAACCAAGCACACATCTCTATCAATAGCTGGGTGTAATTAAACAGTACTCCCTTTACACAAACTGCCAGGCCAGCAGGTCAGTTTGTTCAATGTGGTCTCACTTAGTTCAGGATGTTAGACAGCTGCGTTGCTGCCAACGCCGGCCTGTTTCGCTGCATTCTCAGCATTTTTCTCATTAATCAATCCTCTAAATTTCGTATTCCAAATGAGACATTTTGGAAACTTCCACTGGGCTCTGAGCCCCCATTCCTGGATACCTTCCTAATTTAAGAAATGCGAGGAGTGCAATATCCTCTCTTTATTTCTGGATCCTCTCCTTTTCTTCGCAGACATGTGTTGCATCAATAAGTGGTAGGAGTGGCCGGGAGTGTGTCCTTAATCTCTTTATCCCTGCAAGTCAGCTCTGCTTACAGCCTAACACAGAGATCTTTTCAAGCATCTGCCAAAAAAGTTAATCACCTTCTCCCATTCATTTGCCACTTTACTACAACATCATCATCACCATTATTACTAACATCATTCATACACTCACCTATTCTTTGTCATGTGACTTTGTGGGAATTTACAGAGAATTTTCAGGTATGTTTTGCGACACTTCACTGTACCTACAGAGTCACACCTGAATGACAACATGGCATGTTACTATGGATGTAATCCAGGATGCATTCCACCCTCAACTGATACTACTCTGCCCAGCCTGCTACTGTGCCACTGTACAAAGCAGTATCATGAACTGACATACCCATGGCTGTAAACATAACATTTTGAGTCTAAGGAAGAAAAACACAAGTGTATTTATCACTCACCACTGCGATTAATACACCTAAAGGAGTCTTCAAGTGGTAATTTTATCCACTGGCTAGCCAGTGTACATGCCTTACTGTGATTCTCCATGGCGGTTGCAATGTTTGTTTCCTTAATTTCTAACAATCTCAACAGTAAATAGTTTAATGTTTCCATACGCTACACCCATATTTTCAGCAACGCGTCCACGCGTGTAAACGCAACCGAAGAGGAAAAAAATGCATTACACGGCACGACATTAAAAATAGTCAGCTACTGTAGCGTACTTAATTTCCCCATAACTGGGAAAAACACAGTCACCATCACCGAAATCACTCCCACCATCTCGCCTGAGCCCACAGTCCAGGCTCCAAAAGCGGGGGAGGCTTAGCTACATACATACCCACACATAGACAGCAGCTAACACACACTTTTACTAATCACAGCCAAGTGTGCCCGTAGCTGCACTTGCAATGTTTACTGCTCCTAGAAAACAGAGAGGAAAAAAAAACAAGGAGCCCCGGATAGCATTTGCTTACCGAAAACACGTCAACGTCCGTGGCAGCCATGGTGCGGAATGTATGGTGTTGGTGTGCTGAAGCAGACCGAGCAGAGGCGAAAGGGAGCAGCCCTTGTGTCTCCGTACTAGCCTGCTAAACTACTGACTGAGCTGAGCTGACAGTGATAGGAAGAGAGGGACACAAGGCGGAGAGGAGCTGCTGAACTGGGCAGGGAGGGCGCTAAGCTAGGTGACGAGAGGACTCCCTGCTACTTCGGTTCTGCTTCGCTCAGACACGCTACAGTTTTTCATTTGCTTTTAAAACGGTACTAGTGTAAAAGAACAACAGTTATTTTTTTATTTTTTATAAACTGATTTATATATATAAGCGAAAGGGTGAGAGAGTCGGTACTTAACGGCTGTTTGACGGAGCACTGTTTGCGCATGCGTACGCACATTCCACATTTTTATACATTTTTGCTGTTTTCACATAAAGAAAGCTATTTTTAAGTAGCTTTTCATTATATTGATTATCAAAGTGAACTACAAAAGATGTTTGCTATGTAGTTTTTATTAAGCACTAAAGAGTTTCCAGGCGATATAAGAATAAATATTTATACCTAAGTTAAAGTCGAGCGTGAACTATCCCAAGTATAGTTGACATCTTTGGTTGTGACATATACTTTTTCAATATGGCCAGCTTTCTCAATCGCTGCAGGAATGTCATGTTGCACATTCTGCAAGCCAGGACAGGAGCGAGCAGCAGAAATATGTGTCAGTCAGAGATGGATATCATTTTTAAAAAAATACCTAATCATTTGGATGCCAGTCAAAACATGGCATTCATATTAAAATTAAGCTAATTAGGTCAGAGATTGAGTTTACTAGAATGCAGATCAGCCAATCAGAGAGTTGGAGCAATCCGTCACGTGATGTCGCGATTTTCAACATTTTTCTGTGTTATCTGTCACGCAAAAAAAATAGAATTTGTATCTTGTATGTGTGTATACCAAACTGGCTTTATTCCAGATAAATGAATGGTATTACTATCATGAGTAAGAGCAGTGGTTAAGTTATAAGATACCGTTGCAATAATTAAGATTTCCAAAGAACTAAGTGGCAAACCTCCAGTACTCAAAAGTCAAGCTCGCACATGCCACAAACTGCAGTTCTTCTAATGTCCACTTGCAGCCTGCTCGATGAGTAAGTCAGTCTGTATTAATTACAATGTTGATGTTAAAGTGCCCAACTTTATCAGGAGAAATAGAAGGAAGGTCAGAAAGAGTTGCACTGTGTCTTTGAGGATCTCAAGAGCACATACTGGAAGAATTAAAAGAAGTTAAAGTGACTAAGCGGCATTTTAAAAGGCTGGTACGAAAAGGCTTTTGGCCTCTATGGATAGTGCCCCCCTTCATTGGGGAGATGCATAACTCATCCATGTGGATACTGGAGTTGGGTGTGTGGCTGTCTGATTGACAGGCACAGTCTGCCGTGATAGTGATGTGTTGTATGGCCATGTTGGTGGTGTTCCTGCATCATTATAATAATGTTGGTCCACAATGCTGATGTGATGTCATAGCTTGATGACTGTGATGAGAAAGGACAAAAAAATCCATTTGTTTATATAAAAATCTCTTCTGAAACAAATGTTAAGCATTTCAAGTGTTTTCCGTATTAATTAATGCAATTAAATAATAAAGTTAGGTTTGCTGTTAGCCACATTTAGGTTCCTCATCCTGGTTTGCTTGGGATAGTTTTTCATTGCTTTAGTTAACTTCTTGGTTAATGCTAACTGAATGCTCACACAACATGACTGACCAGTTGTAATGTTTATTCTGGAACAACATTATGATGAAGATATAAGATATATAAGATAGGAACAAAACTAACCTGGCGATATCAAATCGTATGTGGTGAAATTATCTGACAAATACTATGGCTCGCTGCGAGGTACAGACTATCAAAGAAGTCTTTGGTTTAGTTTTGTGGAGTAAAATTGCAGCAATTTATTAGCCCAATGCAGTCAACAAGATAGGATGGCCACAACAGCCACAACAATGATGCTTCCAATCAGATGGGTGAGGTCACGTTGCTATGTCCATCTTTTATTTACAGTCAGTGATGGTAACAGATTATATAACCTATATGACATTTTCAAAATACAAAAAAGAAATAATGAGCCCACATTTCATTATAAAATATATGTAACTAGATTGTAACCACAACGATTTATTAATTTATTTATTTATTATTTTAATCTTTAAATTCCATTGTCACCATTGTTTACAACTTATTTTGTTTGTTTGCTTTTCTTGAAAAGGGGGAAATTACTTTTTTTAATGTGGCTGCATTAGTTTGTATATTATTATTATTTATTTATTACTTTATTATCATTATTATGATTAATATTATTTAAAGTGTAATATTTTCAATGTTTCAGTGTTGAAGTATAATCCTTATTACAAACATTTCATGTTTGTGAGTACAGTACCTACATTTCAACACCTCATGTGAGCCTAATCCAACATTTTTAGCCTAATTACCAAATATTTTCTCCTTATCATTTATATGTACTTGTAGCCTATGAATAGGAACAAAGTGATGCTTTTTGTTTTATTTTACTGAGGTCTACTTTGTTGATTTACCGAAATTTTTGAGCATAAGAATGTTGAACTACTTTGCTCATAGTAAAATATGTACATACATTATTCAAATTGTCCACGTCCTCACTTTCCCCGGAAAGAGCCTCCTCCAGGTGTGGGGAGGAGAGGGAGCGTCCAGGTAAAGCGGTCTGTACCGTCACACGGATAAAGGTGTAACACACCGCGCAGCTGTAAGGAGCTTTCGCTTTTTTCTTTTACAGCTTTAATAATGATTTTGACACAAGAATCCATTCTGTCTTTGCTGGTAGCGGAGGGTGGAAGAGTGAAGAAATCCGACCTGGTTGATAAGTTCAGAGAGTCGGTGGACACCGCGGATCCCGAAGAAAGAGAACGGAATAGGGAGCTTTTCAAGACTTTTGTCAACAATGTAGCGTTTGTGAAAGAAATCGACGGCGAACGGTATGTTGTCCTGCGGAAAACCTATCAGCATTTGTTGGAAGGTCCAAAGATCCATGTGGAAAAGCCTGAAAATGAAAAGATCCCGCTGACAGGTGAGCAGCAGCGCCCACCTGCGCAGGCTGGAAGCTCTGAGGATCAGGGAGGTGTTCAATCAGCTGTTACTGAACCTGATCAGGAAGAGGCAAGTGAAAGTAGTGACCATCCCACAGAACTGCTTTCTCCCATACAGATGGCACTGCAAAGGAGTAAATTTGCAAGTGTACGACTTAAAAGGTCGCTGAATGTTGATGTCCAGCTGCAGGATAGAAAGGGAATTAACTGCTCAAATGCGCCTGTAAAGACCAAGCCATATGCCTTGCCTCTGAGGATGCCCCCCAGCGCCACTAAAGTGGAGATCCACAAACTTAAGCCTGACCCAGATGAACCCGAAGAACATCCAAAAACGGATGCTTTCAGGGACAAGAGAAACAAACTTAAGCCTGACCCAGATGAACCTGAAGAACACCCAAAAACAGATGCTTTCAGGGACAAGAGAAACAAACTTAAGCCTGACCCAGATGAACCCGAAGAACACCCAAAAACGGATGCTTTCAGGGACAAGAGAAGGATGCCTTCGGCGGAGAGCAGCACCGGCTCACCCCAACTAAGGAGGGCAGCGAAGAGCACCAAGGCATCAGAGGAGCACAAAGACACCAGGATTCCCTCTATGTTTCCCCTGGAGCACTCAGAGCATCAGTGGCTCGTCAATTGTGCCGCCGGCCACTGGAGCCAGGCTTACGGCCTGCTGCTCAGAGACAACCAGCTGGCCGAGAAGAAGGACTTCATGTCAGGGTTCACTGCTCTGCACTGGGCAGCCAAAACTGGGAACAGCGACATGCTTGTGAAGATTATCGAAAAAGCCAGGCAAGGAGGGGTTCACGTTGACATCAATGCAAAAACACACGGGGGTTACACTCCTTTGCACATTGCTGCATTGCATGACAAGCAATATATCATTGGCATACTGGTGAAGGAGTACGAAGCCAACATAAGCATCAGGGACAACTATGGCAAGAAGGCCTGCCACTATCTCCACAAAGACGTTTCTGAGTCTGTGAGAGAGATGCTTTGTAAGCCCAAACCCCAGCCGGCAGAGGACAGGGCCCTGCATGAGAAAGAGGAGCTGGATTTGTTCCCGGATCTCTCCAAGGGCCTGCATTCAATAAGCCGCCTCTTTCAACCAAACGTGACAGGCCACAAAAAGAAGCACAAGCAGCGGCCGGGCCTGTACTCCCTGAACAACGACCCCATCGAAGAGGGAGAAGACAGCGGCACCGGCTTCAGGCACAGGCCCATGTCAGATGTTTTTATGTGAAAGCAAAGCTCTTCCCTGACGGAAAACACACCAATGACCTTAAAAGGATTTGGTTAATGCTCTCTTTTTTTATTTTTAGCCTACTTTCTGCAGTTATTATTGGAGATAATGATACAAAAAACATGTGGAGGGATTCTATAGAAACACAATTTAAGTGGTTAAGATCAAAGAGAAAAGATTTAAAAAACCTCGAGGTCAGCAGACGCTGTGTGTGACTTTACCTGCATGAGGTGAATGTCAGACAATGGTGGCTCCTGTGAGTCGTCTTATTACTCACACAAGTGTGGGCTTTTGTAGGTGTGGCCCCTTTAGTCTGTCTGTTTTCAATTGAACTGAGCTTTAAAGTTGTACAGAGAATTTTCTACTGAGTCATTTCAATTAAGACCAAAGCATCATCACCTGAGAGGAATCTGCGTGTTCAGCAAACTGGTATTAAGGACTAATGTATAATATCACAGCATTACAGTCACAGGAGTTAGCATGTGGAACAATTGTACAGACAAAGTGGAAAAAAATAGTACATCACTACATAACTTCACAGACCAGCTGAAAAACAACAAACTGAATGAATATAGGAAATGTTCCTCTCGGTGATTGAGTTGTTTCATTGTGTTCTTATGAAGCCTTGTCTTCATTTTTGTTGTTTAAGGTGAGAATAACCCTCTTTTTTTGTAAAAAAGGAGTAGGTCTCAATAAGTGTTTAACTTCTAAATACACCCGTTGAGGTGTAGTATGTATATAGTATGTAAAATTTAAGATGATTTCATATTGTGTTTATATATCACACATGGAGTGTTAGGATGGTTTCCTTGTTTTTTCTTCTGTTTATGTTTTTTATATGAATACTATAGCCAGAATTAACTAAACTAAAATAAATGTAGTGGTTCAGACCAGTTTTCCAGTTCATGCCTTTAAAAAAATTAAGGTGTCTGTTTATGTAATCGAGCTTCCATGTCCGATAAGTCGTGCCATGAATTCTCTTCCACTGTGATGTCGAACGGGCTGTTTTTCTTTTAACCGCAGACTTTAATCTGGTTGATCTTTTTTTGTTTTTGTCAAAGTACCCGTTCTTATTCTTCTTTTGATTTCAAGCTAAAGCGTACATACTGACAGGAAGTGAATGCAGAATAAAGACATTCTGTTACTCATTTACTGAGATCAAGACTTGACTTGCTCTGTGTTTTCATTTATGAGCAAGAAATGCAGTGCAGTGATCTCACAAAGCAGGCATGCGCAAACAGGAAAAAAAAACGAGGAGGTGTTAATTTATAGGGGAATTAAACTTCCAGTAGAGAAAAATATAATTGTTTTGGAAAGAAGAGACTTAAATATTTGTGCCTCTGAGGGCAGGTTTAGAAGACTAAGCTATTCACTGCTTCACTTTAAAATAGATTAATTATTAAAGGCTGTAAAGCATTAAAAAATTCCCCCGAAGGAAGCCGACTCTGGATTTCACTGTAACATAATCAAATTTACAACAAAAAAAAAAGGGGGGGGGTACAACTTGTATCATTCATTAAGGCCGCACAGGTGCTCCATAAATCATTAATGCCCCTGTATTTGCCAAGTAATTCTCCAGGCTTGGCTACATCTCCTGACTTGTCGAGACAGCTGTGATTAAGCCAGGTAAGCATCTGGCATTGAATGTGCGTGGCTGAAAGATCAGAACGAGCTTTGCATACACTTAACTCAGTGTGTGCTGAAAACTGGAGGTAAACGAGAGGCAGGAGAGAGCGGGAAGAAATAGCAACATTTAGAAATAGTAGGCCAGCTCACTATCCCGCCGTTCGCCTGCCCTTGACTCGTCTCCCTCTGCTTCTTGCGTGTCTCGTTATGTCACTTTCCCAGAAGCGTACATTGTTTGTACGTCAAGATGATGTTTCATCTCAGAGCCTCTGGGCTTTATTAAGCAAATGTTCTTTTCTGTGGCTGCTGCGGGGAGGAAAGCCAACATGGGTTCAGAGAGCTAGGAGAGTCAGCACATAGAGCTGCTGTCAAACTGTTAATGCACATAAACATATGAGTGTTTAAGGATTAAACTGTACCATAGAGAGCAATCAGAGCAATCCATAATTAAATGTTGTCCTAGTAATGTTATTCTGCTACAAGCCTAAAAGTGCACTACTGTAGCAAACCATAAAGGAAAAAAAAGCACTATCTGACAGCAACTTCGTAACGGAAATCCTGTTCAAATCCTTGTTAACTTTTTACATGTTTTTAATGTAAACAAGCATTAACACAAATGTCTAATTAGCCAATCATTTGGCTGCAATTCAGTGTTTTTAGGCATGTAGACACGGTTCAAGAGGACCTGCCAAGGTTCAAACGGAGCATCAGAATGGAGAAGAAAGGTGATTTATGTGAGTGACTTTGAACAAAGCATGGTTATGGATGTTTCAAGTATTAAAAAAAACTCCTGATCTTCTGGTATTTTTGCCACACTACCATGTTTATGGAGAATGGCAATGGAAAAAAAGAGAAAACATCCAGTGAGCAGCAGTTCTCTGGGTGAAAATATCTCACTGATGCCAGAAGTCAGAGGGGAATGGCCAGACTGCTTCAAGCTGATGAGAAGGAAACAGTAACTGAAATGACCACTCTTAAGAACCAAAGTATGCAGGAGAGCATCTCTGAAAGCACGACATGTCAAACATCAAAGCAGAAGAGCACACTGTGTGACGCTTTTTCAGATAAGAACAGGAAACTTATCTACAATGCGTGTGGGCTCACCAAAACTAGATAATAAGATCAGTGTAAACAGCATGAAAGCATGGATCCATCCTGCCTTGTATCAGCAGTTGAGACTGCTGGTGGTAATGATGTAATGGTGCAGGAGATATTTTCTTGGCACACTTTGGGCCTCTTAGAAACTACCACATTTCTTTAAGCTAGCTTTAATAGGTTATCAATGTGTTATTAAATGTCAAAAAATTCAAATAATCTCAAACTGGTTTGATGAACATGACAACGACTTGACTGTACTGGTGTCCACTCACTAGATTTCAATCCAACAGAGCACCTGTGAGGTGTGGCAGATCAGGAAATTCACATCATAGATGTGCAGCTGTTAAATCTGCAGTAAGTATGTGATGCTATTGTGTCAACATAAACCAAAATCTGTGAGCAATGTTTCCAGCACCTTGTTGAATCTGTGCCATGGAGACCAAGGCAGCTCTAAAGGCAAATAGGGAGTCCAGCCTAGTTCTAGTAGGTGTATTGCACACAACCCACATTTCTAATGTCTGTAATTTTAGCAGTAAATTTAATAAAACAACACAATTCAGTCTGTCAGTCTGCCCCAGGGCAGCTGTGGCTACAACTGTAGCTTGCCTCCACCAGTGTGTGAATGTGAGAGTGAATGAATACTGGAATTGTACAGCGCTTTGAAGTTCTCAAAAAGCGCTATATAAATGCAATCCATTATTATTATTATTATTATTACAAATGACGCCTGCCAACACCCCCCTTAGTCACATAAAGTGTACATTTATTTCTCTGCATTATGTAATGACTCCTAACAATGTAAGGCAGTGCACCACGGCAGTCTTGCAATATTTATTATGGCCCATAATGTTTGACTTTTTTTCATTGCATTGTTGGAAATGTGTAAATCCTGGTAAAATCATAGTTATGTAACATTATGCTGAGAGCTGTCTGTAAGGTGCTCTGTAGATCGAACCACCTCTCAGCAGTCCAGTAATACTGACCTCAATGCTAAAACATATAAATGAATGAACACCTCTGTGACGGTGTCAACGTAATGTATTTATAGATATCATTAAAGCATTTATGGCGGACCAGGTGTACCTAATAAAGTGGATACTGAGTATATTGAGAAAGGCCTGGCATTCATATTGTACACTGTTCAGCAGGAATATATAGTGGCAATAAATCATAGCCATATACCATTTTACCGCAGCCTAGTTAGACTGAGACCAAGCCTTTGTTAGTTTTCATAACCGAGGTGAGTAATGACTGCCAGAAGGTGGAGGCCAACACAAGGTGTGCTGACATTCCTAAGGGCAGAGGGTTCAGAGTTCAGGTTGAAAAGTAAGCTTTAAAACCACTAATCTGAGCTCCTGGCAGAGACATCACTGAGTCACCCACTTTGATAAAGAATCCTCCTCACCTCCTGCAGGCACTGTGTCTTCTGGTCATTTTAACACAGTTATATGGTTACATAAAGGGGGGGTTGTGGAATATATGCTTGAGTTTTCTGTTTCCCCACATTGCTGTGGATACAGTCGGTGATTATCAGCAGCAAAGCTCTTCATTATCTGGCGCTGTGACAGAACTGCTGCTGCAGCTGTGCTTCACCATGCTATATCCTCCCGTTTGCTGTCTGGAGTATATCTTTATACTGTCTCTGTAATGATGCTAAACCAAATTGCCATGCAATCAGTGTCTTGGAAACAAGATCTCGCTTGTTTAGGATGCTCAGAGTTGTGTTGTATGACACTGCTGCTTCTCTGGGAATCTGTTTTGTTTTGTTTTTGTTGGTTTGCAAAGTACTCCAAGTGCTGCGTGGCGTCTCTTCTCGTCCACCTGGGGATTTCTCTGCCACTTTCCAAAACAAAACCAACCATTTCTTTGCTCATTTCATTTTGTGTCTCTTAATAAGCATGTGCTGACATCCTCGAAGGCATCCCACTGACTAAACAAATGGGAGCAGCGAGGCCTGAAAGACACGAGAGGCGGACGACAGCATCAGTTAGTGTTACTTTGAGACCACACAGTCTTTTTTCAATGAATTAAATAGGATTATATTTGTTAATCTTCCTATTGATTTTGGTCCAGACTTTCATGTCATTTGGTATACCATATCTGTTTGTTAACACGATTATATAATCAAAGTGACATACACGACACAACCTCAGTGCATTTAGATATGATCAAGCAGACCAGCTGAAGTTCAAACTGAGCATCAGAATGACGAAGAAAGGTGATATAAGTGATTTAGGTGATTTAACAGAAAATACTGGATATTTTCGTTCCCTAGGTGAAAATATCTTGTTGATGCCATAGTTTAGAGAATGGCCTTCGAGCTGATAGGAAGGCAGTTATGGAGAAGAGCATCTCTGAATGCACAGTATGTCCAGCCTTGAAGCAACTGCATTATAGCAGAAGAAGGTCACACCAGTTGCCACTGTTATCAGCTAAAAACAAACACTGAGGCTTCAAATCCCAGCCTCACTGGAAAAATGCCACGTGGTCCGATGAGCATCAATTTCATTCAGATAGTGTAATCAGAAGTTGGTGTAAAGGCCATAAAAGCATGAATAAATCCTGCTTTGTATCAAAGGTTCAGGCTGCTAGTGGTGGTTTAAAGGTATGGGGGATATGTTTGGCACAGTATTATAGCTGACCATGCTGAAATTATTCCACGAAGAATTAAAGCAGTTCTGAAAGGCAACAGGGGGCCAACCTGCTACTAACAACAAATAAAGTGTCGAGTGTAGTCCACATTAATAAAAAATGTATTTTAAAAAATATTTAGTTTACATGCATAGATGATGTATGTATTATCTCCACAATATCATTTTTTAATTTAAAAAAATGCAGATTAAGAACAAAACAGGCTCACAGGAAGTTCTCTGCTAGGAAAATTTGGACTTTCAGAAACAATGTGTTGATCTGCCTGTAGAGGGCAGAGGCGAGCTCTGATTTGAAAGCCCAAACAGGATCTCCCATTTGTGAAATAATGAGATAAAATGTTATGTCTGTACTGGTCTCCCACAGTGAATCCTGCAATGGTAGCACCAACCTTAAATCCTAGGCAAATATGCCATTATTTGCTTTGAGGGGAAAAAAAACAAAGGAGGATTGAGTGTGAGCTTAATTTATTCACAATATTACAAACATGATGGAATTTGGAACTCCAAACAGGCACAAAACAACAACTCTTGACAGAAAACAGGTGTGAGACATGCCAGAAGAGGTGGGTTTACAAATGTCTGCTGCTGGCAGTCGGGACTCACTGAAATGTCTTTGCTTCTCTTGGCTTTAACACAAATTCTCCTCGTATCAGTGTCACAAATCTGCAGTTTTTGGATCAAACCAGCCTTTTCCTTCAGCTAAACACAGCTGTGATTGAAAGAGAGAAACAAGCAGTGACTCAGGAAACCGCGCACACGTACAGTAGCAAAAACCAACATTTATCCACGTGCAGCCAAGGGTCTTCTGTTTCTCCAAAAATGCCGGTCTTTTGGATTCTTTAGGAATTCCAGCAGGCTAAACAGAACGGCATTCAGCCTCTTTAACACTCCAGCCTTGCGTCAGCACAAAGGCCAAAACAAGCATACGTTTGTTTAGCAAACTGAAGCGGTCAGAGTCATAAATCTCCAGAGAAATGTTTCAGGGGTGGTGGCCAAGGTGGAAAAACTGTTTACCACAAAAACATGGAAATATTTATCCAAGGTAAAAGGGCACGTAGTTACTAAGAAAAACTGATTTATTGTTAATCACAATTTATTTACAAAGACTGCTACTGCGTCTTTGTGGTCGTTACTCCATAAATATAACATACATAACCCACAAGCAATACAGTGTGGATATATATATATATATATATATATATATATATATATTTTTTTTTTTTTTTTTAGCCAGCAGGTGTAGATTCCTGAGAGACGATGACATTTCAATCACCTTCACAGGAGTTTTGCTGAAAGTTAACACGTCAAATACCAAAAGGAGTTCTGTCTTTCTGTTCAACCACACACACACACAAGCACGCGCGCACACAGTGACGAACAGCAACATTACACAGCTCTCAAAAGTGTTGGACTGAAGGTTCTGTGAGAACAGAAATGTATAAAACTATGAAAACTAGCTGACAGATTTTAATGGGGAAACAGTGGTGCAGTTAAAGGTGAGTGGATGTGCGGGTAAAGTGTGTTTGTACTTTCAGAAACAGCCTTTAACTTAAGAGAAGTGTGTAAAATGAAACAAGCATCACGTGTTTCTAGAGGGGGCTACTCTGTGGAGGTAGAGAACAGGAAACCAGTCTAAGACGCCTGAATTGAAGATTGCGAATTTTTCTCATTAAAAAACTTAAAACAAAAGGCATTTCAAGTATCAAGAATCGGCTATGCGACAAAAGGACATTGGGGAGCAAAGTACTCAGTGATATAATTGTTGCTTATGTGTAATCTGCTTTTATGAGGCTTAGCACCTCCGTATGAAGAACTATTCCAGTATAAATCATCAAGGCTTTAATGAAATTAACTGGAAAAGAATTTGTACACAATTTTTCATGCTGATTGATGCGCTCATGTACCTTTTAAAAAAGATCACCTCAACATTCCTATTTAAAACGAACCTGAAACAGGAAGAAATATTGTTTAAATGGATGGAGTAAGGCTTCCACTTGAAATGATCTTGAATCTGATTTGAAGAAATGTGCATTTAGGTTTTTTTTTTACAAAGTGCTTTTTTCCATTCACCTATTTTTTTTTTGGTTTTTAGTGCCTTCATTTGAAACACATTTAAAAATAAGAACATTAAAAAAAGATTAACTCTTCTACATCTATTGTACATTTTTACTGATATGATACAGTACATCGCTCTCTTTCAGACTGCTTTCTTTCACTGGCGTCCTCCCGCTGCTCAAATACAATCTTAAAGCTTATAGTAGGTTTCCACAGGTGCAGATACAGGGCTGAAGCACTAATGAAAAGTGAAGGGAGGGTTTCTGCATTGCTAAAAAAGTGTCCCCACAGCAGCTCTAATGGAAAATGTTCCACAGCTTCAGCTATCATCAAGGCACACAGAAAACCCCCCAAACAAAAACAGTTCACTCCTGTTCGAAGTAAAAGATGTACCGTAGTGGGACAAGCCTGGAAACAGTGGTGGGCGGAGTCAGTGAGCATTTATGAGTCTCAGCAGATGACAGGAAGGTAAGCAACTTCAGTCATTACTGCTCACCTCATGCACTGCCTATATAAACAAATAGAAGAGGGGTATCGTGGGTCTTGGTGTAACTCTGCTAAACTCTTTTCAATGACCAAAACAGTCATGACAGAGTGCAAAGGGTTGCAGAGACCAGCTGGACCTCTACAAAGCCAACATGTCTCTACATGTCTCATTTTGAAGAAGCCATCCTCATTTTAGGTAAGCGAAGCAAATCCAAAATTTCCCCCTCACAGATCCAGGCTGCCGGTAAGGGCCTCCAGCTGCTCCTCTCCCAGCCTCTGCTTCTCCTCCAGGTCCTTTTGCCGGATGAGCAGCGACGCCTTGGTCTGGACGAAGCGCCGGTAGTCCTGTAGCTGTTCGGCGGACAGCTGGCGTGACAGGAAGGTGGAGACGAGGTTTTCTCTGCGATCCAAGTTATCCTTCAGATCTTTGGCATCCTCCCTCTGTTTGCATAGCAGACGATGGCGACTGTCCAGAGATTGCTGCGTGGAAACGCAAAGAGAAAAAATGATCAATTCTAAGTGACAGAGTTATAAGGCTACATTTCCTCTCTATTAGACACATGTTGATAACCAAAATAAATCCCTAAAACAATCATGTGACATTTTGTCTCATATTTTGGGGTGTTTTTATAAGTGACAGGAGATAAAGAGGAGTGAAAGCTGCACGATTATGTTTCAAACAGCTACAGGACAGAGGGTGCAGTGTTTCCTTGTGTCAACAGAGGGCAGGGTAGTTACAAATGTCATCGAAACTGGGTTGGAGTTTCGATGAGTCAGTGTAAATACCAGTATTGCTGATAACAGCTAGAAAACAAATGAGCCCTCTAACAAGCCCTCAGTATGCAGCACGCTCAGCGCTGCTATTACAGAGCACAGGGCTAACAAAGAGTCTTTTCAGGAGAAAATCTGGAGGTCTAATGCATCCATGCAAACATACAAAAAGTTATGCTGGAAACACTGAAACAGGTTATTCAGAGAGCGCAAGAAAGCACAGCCAGAACTCGTGTTACGCCTGTGACGTGGCCACTGGATTAATGATTAATTAAGAGAGCGCGGAAATTATTTAGGAGAAGAAATTAGCAACATGAAAACTCTTTTAATTGAAGCCCCTATCGATTATTCAAATTAATCTTCAAACATTTGATAAGCTGAAAAGTGTCAATTAAGCCCAGATAAACCCAGCAGCATTTTTTAAATTCCACAAAGTGAGAAACCTTGACTCCATTACAGCTGCCCTTCAACTTTCCCCCAAGTGGCGTGTTTGCTGTTCTAAAGTAAACAGAACAAGAGTATAGCTGAGGGCATGGGAGCAGCTGCACACTTCTAACACTTGCTCTCCGTGGTCTTTTTGCCAGGAGCTCCTAATGAGCCACAGTGTATATTGAGATCCTTAAGCTTAGTGACGTAGCATTTCTCCCAGGAGCACTCGCTGACAGTATGCTTTTACTCACATGATTTAGTGTTTATGTGTAAACAGCATCACCGTGTGAATGGCATCAAAACACATTGAGCACATGCTGGTGTATTTGAGAGAGTTCATTAAAAAATTATTATCAGATCATTTGATCTAAAATGCTTTTAATTTTTTTAAATTATATGTGTTATGTAATGTGACTGACTGTTATGTGTTCATGAAAATCCAAATCTGAGTCAAAACAAAGGCAAGAAGGATTGAGTGATTGTGGGTTTTCTTTGCAGAAACTTGGAGAATTTTGGAGAGTTTTCAAAACAATCCCTGGTAAACAATTATGTAACGCTAATTAAAAATACTAAATTAATTATCCAGCGTTATTTTCACAATAGTTGGCATGCAGAATCAGCCAGTCAGAGTCAATGTTTCTGGTTCCCCACCTTCTCCTCAGCATCAGTGTTCTCATCCACGGTGCTCAGGGCGTTCTGTACCCTGGCCAGCCGAGCAGACAGGCACAGCAGCAGACTGACCACCCGCTCCAGGTCACCTATGAACAGGTTGTACCTCTCCAGTTCCACAGGGAGACAACGCTCACGGACCAGCACCTGTAGCGCTTCCCCGCGGGCTGTGTTCTCCTGAACCTCTACCTGGAGGGCTCCACGCGTCTCTTCATACGAGCGCAGACGGTCCTCGATGTACGAAGCCAACAAACGCTGAAAGGAACAAAGAGAAGAGTTTGAGACGCTTTAGATAAATGAGATGTGGTGAAAAAAGGATGGATATAAACCAGTTAAAAATATGTTTTTTTACATTTGCTGCCATGGAACCATACCACTGTACTAGCAGTGAGTGTGCATGGCAGCAAGAAACAGGGGGGAGTTACTTGCTAAGCCAAACATTAGACAAGAGGGAGACACTGATAAGAGGCAGACGGCATATCATGTGATAAGAGACAGAACTATTGCTGCTTGAATAGTTGAATAGTCCACTTAAGGCCAAATAGCTTACAGATGGTATCAATATGAAATCACCAGAGGATCTGGTTTAAAAATTAAAACTGAATGAGGCCACAGTTCAAACTGTTCACATAAAAGCAGTGCTCATTCTGTCTGGCTTTCACTCATTTAACAAAGCAGTGATTTGAGACATACAGAGTATTTTTACCCATAAAGCAGACAGACCTTTGGTCTCATAGGGATGTCTTGAATGTTTTTCAACTACCGGTAATGAATTATTTCTTCTTACTTGTCGTGAGGAATTTTAATGTTGAAAAAACGATTAAGCTATACTTGCTCTGTAATGCACGCTGAACTAAACTAATCACTATTTGCATAAAATGATGATTACCTTCTTCTCTGTGATGTCAGTTTTGCTTTGCAGGTCTGCTGATTTCTCACTGTCGGGAGCAGGGGGACAGGGAGAGGCTTCCGACCCTTCCACTGTTTCAGCACTGCAATGAAATTTGGTTATGTTAAAACAACTTGATTCCTGCTGTCACAATATAGACATGCTCAAATGACATGTTTGTTTCAGGCAGGCCACATTTTAACAGCAACACAGAGTTAACTGAGCAAAGTCCAAATGTTTTCTGCATATTTAAATACTCTGAAATGCATCTGCACATTCTCTTTGTATCTGAAGTGTGCTTACATTAGCAGAAATAGAAGTGCATGCACAGCAGTAAGCAAATATACAGGTGTGTCTGTGCATGAGATGTTACACAAGATAACAGAAGCACCAGTGGAGCTCAGTTCATTAGCCAGTTTAAACTAGTGTCAAATTTCATGGAAACCCATCAAACTAGAAATCCTAATTACCTGAGTGCTGCACACCATTGGAAACTCTAGCTTGGCTATTATTATCCATTCTTTACGTTAACTACTTATTCTTCAGGAGTGAAGAAGACCTCCAGCACAATTTCTATTTTCCACGAGTGTAAACTGAAAAATAGTCATTCCATCTGCTTTGTTTACCACTGCTGAGTTTACCTGAAGTGTTTTCTTCTGGCACATGAACATTTACCTTTCTGCTGCTCCATTCTGCTCTTGTTTCTTCTTGTAGTGCTCCTCCATGAGCAGTGTGTCCTCCGACAGCAGCTGCTCCATCAGCATGAGCGCTGTCTTACGATTGGTCAGTGGGTAGAGCACTCTAGCTAACGTCTGGTCGGCTCCGACAACTGCTTCTACAAGCTCCTCCCACTTAGGTCTCTCAGCAGGTGTCTCCTGGCCCTCCGTCTCTCCCTCTGGTGTTCCCCTTTCCTCCATCTCCTGGTTTTCTCCCACATTCTCATCTTCCATTACCAGATCTTTCTCCTCATCCACCTGATGACTGATGTCTTCGTCGGAGACCGACGTGCAGGGAGACACAGAGGTTTCACTCATCTGCTTTAGAGGGACTGCACTAGTGGAGTCGAAAACACTGTCAGTCAGAGGTGTAGTCTTGACTTCCTCTTTGACCTCTTCTTCTGGTGACAGAATCCAGAGCAAAGGATCTGTGGTGACGCCACAGCTCAGAGACACCTCATGGTTTGAATCAGGTGGCTGGCCATTACTGCTTGGTTCATTCACCGACTGCTCCCTCTCTGATTCAGTCACAGAAGATGTGCTGCCTCTGCTGGAAGTCAAAAAAAATCATGATAAAGATTTACACCTGATGAAATTTGCAAAATCTTTTTTTGATGTAATGTTTCCTGTTACTGATTAATTCAAATGAGGAAGAAACTGGTATGGCACATTTTAACATGGGGTCTAATCTTACCTGGATCTGTTTTCAAAAGGAAGCTTTGTCTGAGTGGGGGTGGACGCAGTGGATTTAATCTCCCTCTCAGTGATCTCTTCACCTCCAGGGGACGGTGGGTTTGAGGAAGACTCACTAGGCGATCTGCTAGACCTGCATTCATCTGTGACAGGGCCATGAGATCCAGGACTCGCAGGATGAACCTTGGCCTGAGAAGGGGAAGAGGAGGAGATAGGGGAGATTGATCCACTTGAGTTCCTTGATCTGACTGTAGCATCCTCCTTTGAGTTGTCCTTCAACAGGGCTTTCCTCTGGGTTTGGTTTTGTGACTGTCCCTGAGTGTGCTTCTGACCAACAATCTCTGGCTCTTTTCCTGTTTTCTCCGAAACACTTAGTTTCTTCCTCCTTCTTTCCTGCCCCTGGGCTTCTCTTTCATCAGAAAAGTCTGGTCGTCCCATCTCACTCGAATACCTCTGCAGATGATCCAGCTGTTCAGAACTTTTACTCAGGGCTGACACCTTTGTCACCTGGGATACCCCAAGCTCTTCCATGGATTTTCCCCTCTGTGACGGTACACGGACCTGGTGATGGTCCACAGGAGCTGACTTTCTCGAGGATTCCTTAATGGCAATCTTCTCAGAACTAAAATAAGAACAGAATCAGACATAAAGATTCATGGCAACTGTAAGTTACTTTGGAGCAGAAAGCCTTGCAATGACGTGTACCCCGCAGGGGCCAACACAAAGAGAGAAGAGCAACCATTCACACCTAAAGCAATTTTGAATCACCAATTAACCTAACCCTACCAGCTGCAGTACCCAAAGAGAACCCACGCAGACATGGGGATGTCTGATTTGAACCTCTCGCAACAGTCCTAGCCACTGTGCCACTATTTTACCTGAACATGAATCATTTCTAGAAAATAAAAATATCAATGTTCAAAACAGGAGACTCAAAGTCGAAATCAACATAATTTCAAGAAGTAGGCTAACTCATTGAAACTGGTTCAGTCCATTACTCTTCTTTTACGGTCCATGTGTAAATCTTTTGAAAGGAATGTCGGTTTGCTGGAGGAAGTTGGTGTTGACTTTCCAGCACCACAATGAAACAAGTTGAACTTTATAGTCTGTACCACAGTGCACACATCACTGACCTAATACTTCTCTGACCTAAAACCCAATAAAAGTGTCCCAAATTATCTGCAGCACTGGTACATACCTGCTGGTCTCCATAGTATTAGCTGGTAGTAGATCCTCCTCATATTCATTTGCCTGCAGACCCAAAATAAGAACAAAAACACTGAATTTAATTTGTACTGGTGTCAGAAATTACTACACTGCCAAGTGAACATGACCTGAAATATTTCGCTTTAATTTTAATTTTGTATTATTTACGTTGCTGCTTTTTAAATGCAATACAGACTCTAAATTAATTAACTATATCTGTGAAAGGAAATCTACAGGTGACTTTAGTAAGGAATGTCATATTAAGGATACATCTAAGGGCTTTTTAATGATATTGCCACTAATTTGGCCTACTTTACCTCAAGTGTGTGCGGTGTGGATGTGGAACGGTTCCTAAGGAAACTAGGTGGTTCTGGCTGGTCCAAGAGACTCTCCGCTGATGCAGACTTTCCCTGAGAAGGACCTTGGCTCTCTCTCCATCTGGACTGATTTTGCTGGCCACTATATTGGCCTGAACAGGACTGTGCTGAGAAGAACTGTGCATACCTGTTTTGTGAAAATTAAACAGAATACTTTAAATGCTTGATTTAATCCACACTACAAAGGCAGAACCAAAAGAAGCTTCTCAGCTGTACCTGATCGAGCTGGTGGAGGAATCGAGGATTCGGCCTGCAGAGTGGGGTCTGTTAAGCTTCTTCTTTGTATTTTTAGCTTCATAATTCCCCGATAGAGACCTGGGACCTGGCCAGTCAAATGGTTTCTCCCCAAGAGAGTGCCTCTGTCTGGGTGGAGGTGGTATCTGAGATGTTGGTTGCTGGGGTTCGGCCGCTTTATGGCCCGTCTTACGCTCCATGTAATCCACCAGAGCCTGATGTCGCAGATGTTTTAGGTTTGTCTTCGAGGTGCTCGAGGTTGAAAGAGCTCGACCTCTTGTCTCAAACATCTTCCTCCGTGCTTCAACCAATCCCTGCTCTTCTTGCGGCACCTGCTCCTCTCCCTCATTTTGATCCAAAAACAGGTCGTCGCTTTCATTGCCAAATGAGCGGCAGGCTGAGTGGTGTGGGCCACCGCCGAGGTGGTTGAGTTTCTCTGGCTCCGAGTAAGACATCTTCTTCTGCTCAGGAGTCAGTCTCTTTCTGCTTCCAATTCGTGCCACCTGTGGCTGGGCAACATTTGTTGGCCTCCCACTTTCATTTTCATGCTTTTTGCCAATCTCCATGTGATCACTGATGTCTTCTTCTTTTATGCTCCCCTTCTCCATCCCTTCTGAAGTGACAGAAGGAGTGAGCGTGTCGCTAGAAGTCTCTGAGTCCTGTGATGAAGAGAAACGATGAATCACTCCGGGTCTCAGCTCTGGCTTTTCCCTGATCCGGTGTGGCCACGACAGCTGCAGGTCCCTCCTTTTAAATGACGTCTCCCTCAGAACTTTTGACTGAGCATCCTTCAGCTTCTCTTTGTAGTACTTTTTAAATGAGTCATCCAAGGTGTTACAGGCAACTGAAATATCATCACCTCTATTATTCTTGCTAATGTCACCCTGTGGAGGTGTCTCACTGTCATTTACTGGCACATCACCTTGGCCTGTTTTGTTTAAGACTGTTTCCTTGCCTTTTACACTGATCCCAGGCTCATTCTTGGGCTGTAATGCTGCTCTGCTGGCACCAGTGAGGTGGTACAGAAGCGGGGTTGTTTCCTTGTTTATCCTCTCACTTGCAACATCCCCTAAGGGCTGCCATTTCCCTCTCTTTGCATGATCGTCTCTCTTGTGGTGGTTGGACTGCTCATTGCTAATCAGTGATGTATCCTCCATTGTTGGTGAGGCTGATTGTGAGCAGCTTCTTTCGGGACCACAATAAAATATAGGGTTGCTGGCAGTGTGCCGGCCAATTTCTCGATTCTGCACTGTGTCGATTTCTTCTAAGGCATCGAAGCTTCGCGAGGACTGCGTCAGCTTAAAGGACGGTTTAAGTTGCTCCCGACTCTCAGAGATCATATCTTTTCCTGGGGTAACAGAAGTGAAAACATCATTTTCATCTAGAATTGTACCACTGGAGGAGCGAGAAGTCTCTTGGAGAGGTCTAAACAAATTGTCCATTGTGCTGTGGCATCTTTCTCTTAGCTTGTGCGTCTCCAACACAGTAGAGACTTCACTTCCAGCCTCAGAACCACAAACAGAAAGAGAGTGTGTCTTCAAACCAGACTCAGACAGCTTACACACTCCAGTGACAAAGTAGTATTGACCCTTGTGCTGAATGCTGCTGCCGCTGATAAGACTCTGATCATTACTCCCCCAGGGGTTGGCAGCTCGGGCTGGCTCTGAACCAAGCCAGTCGTAAGCAGAATGTGCCCTTTTGCGCTGACTTTCAAGATGGCGCTTACTAGCTTTGCTATAATGGTCTCCATTACATCCACCAGTGCTCGGGGGCTTTTTGGCTGGCAGGTGGTCAGGCTGACTTGTGCCTCGAGGAATAGATCGGCTTAGATTGTTTGCTGACTTCTGCTGCTCAGAGGCAGCTTTGTTCTCTTTGATGGATAGATATTCTGGGTTCAGAGGCAGCCTGGTCTGATCATTAGGCTGGAGGTGGGGTCGGTAGTTTGGTGGCACCTGTGCCTGTGGCTGCTGCTGTTGAGAGCCTCTCCAAACTGGGTATACTGGGTCAGAAGTGAAGTCCGAGTTGCTCGTATCAGCATTAGCTGTCTCAGGTTTTGTGGCATTTAGATCATGGTGCTGCCGAACTTGGGGTCTGGCCTTCTGATAAGGCTGCTGGAGCTGAAATTCAGCATTATTATGATGGATGTTTTCAAAGTTTTTAGTAGCTATAAAACTATCCAGGCGTGCTGGAACTGGAGGAGGACGGACAGGAGGGACAGCACTTTGGGCTGAATTCCCCAAATGCATCTCTCTTTTTGAGAGTGCTTTGTTGTTGGTATGGACACTGTTACTGCCATTGTAGTTAAGGTGGTTTACATTAGTGTTAGTTTTGTTGCGGTACTCATGGGCGATAGATTCAACTGAGCGATAGAGCTGGTCCATGGTCTTTGAGTCAGACTGCAGAACCTGGGTCGGATGGTAAATGGACTTTACATACTTAAGATCAGCATAGTGGCTGAAGGAGTTTGGCTGAAGGTCCTCTGGAAGAAAGGGAGATGGATAGTCTGGGGCAGTGGAACCACCAGAGAAGGAGCTATAGGCAGAGTCTCCTTTGCCGTGTTGGTGGTGTGCAAGTTGGTCGACGATGCTACTGCTGGACTTGGCTGGGGAAAGCCGGCTGACAGGCATGCTCAGAGGATGCAGATCCACGTTGCTCATTCTCTCAAAGTGGAAGTTGTAGGAATCCATGGAGGACTGGGGCGAATGGCAGGAAGGGAAGGGCAGAATCTGTAGATATGGTGTACGTGTATGAGCGCTGATGCATGTGTCTTCCTTGTGGTTGAAACTGGGAAAATTACCACAAACACATCTGCACCAGGTTGTCCGTCACGTTGGTTACTATTTAGGTCATTTTCCTGCCTTCTTTTTCTGCAGTCACAGCCCCATGAAACAGTCTGCTCCTGGGGAAGAAAACACAAACACAGCACAGGCCTGAAAACTCAATTTAGGCTTAATTTTTCAGGACAAACATGGTACAAATGACTTTGTTCATGTTGTTCACATTAGGCTTACAGGCAAATAATATTAATATTTTTTTCTTATTAATGCATGTGAGATAGTATTTTGTAATCAAAAGCAAACTAAAACAGTATCAATCAAACAGGTTTAGATAGTTAAAGTACACTCCCTTTAACACAATTACACCTTTGTCTGCCTCAACATGTACTCAAAATTAACACTACTATGTGAGCAAGACAAGTTTCATGCCATTTTTTTTGTTTTAGGGTTCTTACAGTTCACGCCAGCTTGGTTTTGTGGGTCAGTGCAGTTAACCACCTGTTGAAGGGGTCTGCCGTTTTGCATCAATAAGACCTCTAATTAAGTTCCCTGAGACTAGCAGAGCACGTTGCAGCACACTCATGAAAAAATGTCAGGAATTTCATATAGAAGAACAGAAGCACCTGAGGATTAGTCATGTGACAGGTGTATAATGCATTGTTATACACAAGTGGCTCAAAAAAACATTTGTTTTCCTCTTATTCACTGCACACCGCAGTATTTGATCTATGTATTTGTTTTGTCAAATGACTGTCTAAAATATGATATGTTAAGAGCAACATAATAATCAATGATCAATGCACTATTTAATTATAAAAAAAAGATCACTATCCTCTCCTTCAATGTAAATCTAAATGTTTCAGAAGCAATATCTGCAAATATGTAAAATGTTCAGATTTTATCAAGTTCACCACCTGACCCCGTGACTGGAAGATGCTTTGCACCGCTAGTGTCACACCATTTCAAATGACACTTTTTATCTGCAACATTATGGAAACCTTATGGAACATTATGGAAACCTTTAGAGTGGAGCAATTGCGCCACTCTAAAGGTAACTGTTCTGACATGTATATACAATATACTATTTAATGTTGAGGCCACGTGCCTATGTGAGTGATGTGCTGCTAACAAACAGATTCTGCCAGTTTCCTGTTTGATCAGGAACTGAATAGAAACAATCAAATTTAGATTTTATATACTTATTTACTGCATTTTAAGTTCTGCAGTGGATACTTGTTCATATAGTCACTGCAGTTCATTCTCATACAAAAACCAGCTCTGGCAAGTGACTGCGGCGTTTGAGCGTTACAGTGGACTCTCCCATGACCTGCATGCATTTCTTTCACTATGTCATCAAAGTTTATAGTCACACACCTGTCATGCATACACAAAAGCAAATGCTACTAATATAACAGAGTCAAGCCAACCAGCCCAGTTTTAGGGCTCACCAGCGACCAGATTTTGCTTAACTGATTTTGTTTCCTGTGTAATCGGGAATTATTTCATTCACAAACCACAATGATGACTTGAGATTCCTTACAGTCACTTTCAAAATTTATTTTTTTCCCAGTGTTTCCAGGTTTTTTGCCTGGTATTAAAAAAACTGCATTACAGATAATCCGAGGTGGCCGTTTTGCATATACACAAAACCCACCTCCCAGGAGCCATTCACAGCTAAACTACAGTATTAAGGGGGGTATCCCATGTGTTTATGAAGGGCCTTCTGATCTGTAGTGTGTTACTCTGCGTGTGCCTTTGTGTGTGTGTGTGTTTTCTAGCCATCCTATTTCCACTGTGAACAGAGAGAGGCTCCCAAACAGGGGAGCGCTGAAGTGGAAGTGATGGAGGGGACAGGCAGTGACAAAATGTACAGAGGGGAGAGAAGGAGGGAGGGTAAGGCAGAGGGTGACCGGCCCAGACAAATACTCTCACACGCAAACCACAACAACAAGAGACAAGAGAAGTGAACAATGACAACAGGAAAGCTGAACACAAGTTAGAAAAACAGACCAAGTGTCACAGTAGCAAAACGGAGAGGGAACTAATCTGGAGCTCTACTGTGTTCAGATTGGATTGAAAATGTATAAACTTTAGGGAACACCATCAGAAAGAAAGGAAAAAGAAAAACTCACCAGAACTCTGAGTCAAAGTCACTGCCCTTCCTGATTTCCATCTGAAAAAGAGAGTGTTTCCTAAGTTTAATCTGAAATAAAGATTTGCCAATTGATTTCCATGCTTGTTTCTCATTCAGAACATTGTTCGGCTTCTAAAGAGGGACCAGACCAAGTAACCAGGAGAGCCAGATATTAGAGAGAAGACTTCTAGCGGGTTCCTTCTCCCCCCACTGAGACCCGAGGCTGCCTAGCGGGGACCACTGATTGGCTAGCCGATGACGTCCGGCTCTCCGATGCACAATGAGCGCAGCGGAGGGAATATTTCACTGCTGCAGATAGCTGCTAGTGCTGCCGGCCGCCTAAACAACAGAGAGCGAGAGAGGGGAGGAAAAAAAAAGAGGCCTCGCATTCCTGGCTGGCTTCAAAGACGGAGCACAGCCCGGGCGCCATTCATTCCCAAGGCCCTGAGCCCGGCACATGGAGACTAGCCAAGGCAGGAGGGAGGGGATAATGGTGGTGGGTCGGGTGGGTGTATGGGTGACCTCCCAGCCTCCACCCCAGAGGGAAAAAAAAAAACAGTCACAAAGAACAGCTATCCCCCACTTTCATCCTAATTTTCCTCTTTCCACAATTTCTACAAGTCTCCTCTGTATTTCTTAATAAACTCATAAACTGGGCATCACACAAACAAAAGTATCACACAGCAGTACTGCAGTATTTGTGTTGGTTTGAGATAAGTGGCCTCTTTTTAAACCTACAAATGTAAAGCATGTTCACCATGTCAATAATACACTTGGAATTAACAGGTTAGTTTTATTAAACCCTAAATGGGCACAAAAGGCACAATATTAAAAGAAGACTTAAACCTTAGCATTGCAACACGACACTGATCAGTCAGTCACACGAGTCAACAATAACCTCATCTTTCAAAACTCCTGCGTGATTGTGTAGTGCTGTACAAAGAGCCTTGTTGCTTTCACTGTTGTTTTCTATTGAGGCTGGCACCACTAGTGCTCCGCTATGCGGGATCTTTGTTACTGTCAGCCACATCCACGATGTTCTAGTGATTTCACTGCTGGCTGACTCCACCTGTTGTAAATGTACTCTAACTTTTGTTTATGATCATGCTGAGAGAAGGAAAGAAACATTAGCATGTAAAACTGTAGCATTATCACTGAGAAAATTGACTATAATAACACTTAAAAAAAACAAACAGGCAAGCAAAGTTGGCTTCAAGTATGTTGAATGGTCAATTGTTGAGCTAGATTTGAGCTTAAAGCAATTTCCACACGTGATTACAAAAGAAATCCATGAGAAGGGTTGACCTTAAATATTGAGGTTACGCATAAACAAGGATAAGCTCATGACCACTTTCTGCCTGGCAACTGAGCTAAGGACTATATCATGGCAGATGGAGGGGAGAGTAAAAAAATTAAGAACTGCAGGCTATTCAAAGAGCAGATTTTTTTTATGTTTAAAAGAAATGGTCACAAGAGGAGCTTGTTTTTAATTTGTTAGGAAGACGGGATTCATAAAACCAACAAATGAGAGGAAGAGAGGTTAGGCTGATCTAGAGAGGGAGGAATGAAGTATGGGAGGGGGGTGTTAAATTCTTTCTTTTTTTTAATGTCTTTTATTGGTGATTACGTGTTCCAGCGTGACCTTCACCATGAAGCCACGAGACTGGACCACCAAGTCTCTGAGAAACAGATATGACTCTCAGAAGGCAGAAATAGAAAAAGAGAGGATGCCAAGAAGATCAAAAGAAAGAAAGACAAATATGCAGGGAGAAACTATTAAAACGGTTAATCCTGCTGGCCCTGCTACATCTTCTGAGAAAAATGACAACAGGTTGGTTGATGGACACCCTCCCAGACAGACCGCAACAAATGCTTCTGTTATGAGCCCACAAACTATTGTTGGTACTGTTGCTCTTAATTAGAATACTGAATAAGTGTTTTTCCAGCACCATGTCACTGCAGCTGTATCATTTTTCCAGAAGGCAAGCATTTTCTGCTACAGTCCTCAAAGCAGAGTAATGACATGTGTCTGCATAGTTTTTAACTTTGAAAAAGGACTTAGTTTACCCAGAATCCACCGCAAATTAGTCCTATTTAACACTGTCATGAACTTAACAGCTTTCTATAACAGATATGGCTCATAGCTAAGCCATATTCAAAAGGTTTATCTTTGTAAAGTCAACAAAACCTCTGAACCTTTGTAGACACGTCAAGATTTCTGTTGACCCTCCTGGTGGTGGGCCCCACTTTAGAAGTGCTCTTTAACCCCTTAGCAGTCCTATTAGTCCCCTAAACCATCCAATGTCCCGTGGGCGGTACGTCCGACTGCTAACAGTTTAAATGACTGTAAAAGCACCAGTATGCCTGCCACATTGGCTGTTTCTCTCACCACCACTAAAACATCACACAGTCACTTTTATATATGCCTGCAGTTAACACGCAGGAAGTCACTGCAGTATTCTCCTGAACGATAAGCATCTAATTATTTTGCAAATTACAAAATTACAAAAATAAGTCCAGGCGGCTTGTATGATACTTGGGTGATAAAGGACTACGGAAAGCGATTTTCATGCTCTGCTGTCTTGCTGTTGGTGAAAAAGATTTTTCCATCACAAACAGTAAATCATTACATCTTATTATTATCATCATTTTTTTTTCTTCTGACTTTGGTGATTATACTAATTACACATTTGTGATCCTTTTGACAAAAACAAAAAGAAAGGCACACCAGATTGGCAGTTTGAAAACCAATCCTGGGCTGTATGTGGACACTACTGCCCACAACTCCCACTGTGTTTGGATATATATCAGCTGCAGCACTGAGCGGAGCCTTCCTGCAGAGCAGAACATTCACTCCGTCTGAGAAAAGTTCAACCACAGCAAATAGAAATGACAGATATTTAAGTTGATGAGAAGCAGACCAAGACTCACAGAGCAAAGCTTTGACTCAATGTGCAAAATTAGAAGCCAAAGAACTTTTTGGCTCATGAAGGCCTTCATCAAGCCTACGAGCCGTGATATTCTTCACTTACTCTCAGTGAAATAGAAACATAGTGCTTTAACCTACATTCCCTTTCACTGAAATCCACAAAACCTAACTACCAGGGAGGCAAAAGAGACTCAACACAAGCTCAAATTAAAATAAAAGTTAGAAACATGACTTCACTTCTGGACAAGAGCCTCCCAGAGGACCAACAGGGCATCATTCTATTGTCCTCAATCAAACAGAAGCAGGGAGGAAGCCGTATTTGAAAAGGTGGAAGTGGATGTATGTTGAGCTCTGACAGAGCAAAGCGGCTGGTTGCGGGAAAAGGAAAGGGGCTTGCCATGCAGTGTTATCATTAGCACCAGCAGTGTAGTTCTTTGTGTATGCGTGTGTCACACACATATGTATGAACCACAATGATTAAACAGTGAGAGCTGTGGAGAGAAACTGTGAAACTGTTGCTGGGCAGTGCTCACATCAGTGGCTAAAATCTCTAGCTGACCAAGACAAGCTGTCACACTCTAATAAGCTCTGCATTCCTGCCCTGATCTGGCCTAAATACTTGACAATATCAACACTGAGTCCACTTCATGTTGTTGTTGTTGTTTTAACAAAAAGAAAGTATAGAAAAAAAGAAAGCAATATGTTTGCAACGCCAAACACTGAATGCATGTTTGTGCAACTATGACACTCCTTTTGTGTTTGCATAGATGCAAATTACTAACATCCCTTTAGTTTAGCTGTGCTTACGTAAACGCCAAAGATGAGACACACAGAAAACCCAACAAGGGCAATAAGTGTATATTAATAACATGCACCAAAGTTATTTTGTATCCTTCCTGGTCAATGATTAACCAGGAACTGCATCGTGCCTCGCAGCACTTGGCTCAAAAATGAGTACAGGCCTCTAAGAATGATAAACTATTCTCAACTGGCCTCTGAGAAGACAATTACTTTTGTATTTAAGACCCCCCAGGGCTTTGCAATGTGATCTAGTCATGGTCAGTTTAACTGGATACTGTAGGAATTCCACTGCACTGCAGAATAGTAAGAGCCTACAGACTATTGGGTTTTACTTGTGTGAAGGCGAGTCTGCATGGAGCCTCAGTCTAAAAATGGGCCGTGCAAATTCATAATTTCGGCTCCATATCCTTTTCAGTCTTTGGTATGTGTAATAAAATCTGAGAACATACTGACCTAGGTCAAAATCCAGATGTAAAAAGATAGTAAACAGCCAATTACAAATATATCTCAATAAACTAAATGTTGGCCTGTGGCCTGATAAGATAATCTGATCATTTAGATACAGACTTTATTAGGTGTCCTATGCTACTACCAGGTCGGACCACCTTTTTTCTTCAGAATCTCCTTAAGTCTTCATGGCACTGATTCAAAAAGGTGGCAGAAACATTCTGCAGAGATTTTGCTCCATATTGATATGACAACATCACACAGTTGCTCCAGATGTGTCAACTGCACATCCATGAATCCAATTTCCACTGTATCGCAAAGGTGTTCAATTGGATTGAGATCTGGTGACTGTTAAAAACCATTTCAGTATAGTGACCTCATTGTCATGTTCAAGAAAGCAGTTTGAGATGATCTGAGTTGACATGACACATTAACCTCCCAGAAGCAGCCATCAGAAGCTGTGTGCATTATGCTAATGAAGGGACGGACATGGTCAGCAACAATACTCAATGTAGGTTGTGGTGTTTAAAAAAACGCTTGTGTGGCACGGACATATCCCCCACACTATTACACCACCATCACCAGCCTGAACCACCGATACAAGGCAGGATGCTTTTAGCATGCTTTCATGTTGTTGCTGAATAACAATTATGACCCTACCTTCATCACAGTTAAGCAGATGACAATCTTTGTTTGGGCATGCCACTTTGAATATTTTGGAATTAATTTGTAGAATATTCAGAAGATATTCAGAATATTCAGAAGACACCACTGCAGGGCAGCAGATAAAAAGTGATTGTAAATGCGTGATACCATCAACAACAAAGGAGCCATGGCGACAGCAAGTGAGAAAGAAGAGACTGGTCCCTACAGGAAGCTGAGACAAACACCACAAAAAAGCACAATAACAAATGACCCACTTCCTGGTTAGAGGTGGGGAAAGTCTCAATGACTCCTTCATTACAGAAAAAAGTTATCTTTAAAGAAAAAAGTTGTCTATTCTTCTTGGGTCCTGAGTGTCAGCCCTCACAGCTCAGCCCTGATCTCTCAGCTGTCACTGAAGACACTGTTAGCAGTCTAAACAGGGAGGATAATGTGCTCCATTTGATCTTCATCCAGCTCAGCTCTGTCTTTTCTTTAAGCACTACATGTCGCTCAACTCGTCAAGCAGGGTACCAATTATTTTATTTTTATTATTATTTATTATTTATTAACTTCTATCTATAAAGTGTAGAAAAATAGGGGGGGGGGGGAGACTCAGTTTCCCTTCATCTTTGTTTTCTCCATCCCAAAATCAAACACAAACACTCACATCTGACATCCAAGAGTCACAGATTTGTTGGTGCCAATACATACACCACAACTATTATTAAGACATGCATGCTTACATCTTCTGTTTATGATATACACACATATAAAAGATCACATATACTGAAACCTAAATAGCTTTACATTGAGTATCGAAAAATCCAGTAATAATGTAGCCACGTTTTACTGACCACTTTCACGTCTTCAGCTGACATTCTCTACCAGTGAGCTCAGTGTCGCCTGGTGGCAGTGACCATCTCTGCCATGTTACATAACGAGCTGTGGTCTGACTATAGACACATAACAAACACTGGATATCACACATGGTGGCATTGCTGCTGGGGCTACAACACCACGTGGCATCACCATGAGGACGTGAATTCGCAGAGGTGGAGACTTCCTGGAGTGAAAGTGACTTTACAGAGCATGTATTGTTCTTGTAAGACCAATCCCTAATCTTACACTATCAATGTCATGGACAAGGTATGAACACCGACTTCAAACCAAAAAGAGCAAATAAGAATATATGCCAATATAAGAGTAAATACTATCTTCAGGAAAGACCACGTGAAGACATGTGTTACTAATGAACAACATAAAAGAAGTAAACAAGAAAACAAAAACTAAAAATAATCACAGAGATAGTGCAGAGGATTTGGAAATGCTCATGCAAGACGCTATGCATCTGCACCTAGACAGTATATAATACACTACTCATAAAATGCATTAATGCTGGTAAACCCAGGGTAAAGCTGTTAATGGGCTTCCCTATAGCACAAAGGCTACATGATATGACCTGGTTCTCAGGTTTTTCAAAAGCAGCTGCAGTCTAACGCTCTCTGAGGGTTTACAATGGAAATCAGTGTAACCCCAGTTTCCTGGTCGTTATTAAGAAGCTAATTAACTCTGATTTTAAAGCATGGAGCTTACTTTTAATTTAGGTGTGTATTCCTGTAGTAATCCTTACTGCAGAACATGTCAGATGTAGTAGCAGCCTCAGCCTAACTCACATATCTGCTTCTATAATTAAACTTTAAAAGATTGAGCATTAGAAATACTACTTATTTCATATAGTTATTATTAAGGGTAAGTGCAGATTTTCTTCTGTTGAATGGACTGGGGCAAAAACCCTGATTATGAAATCTAATCTCTAACACACTGTGCTCAAGTCATCATGATGTCAGCAAAATGTCTCATCAACTACTAGCTGGGCTACCTTTAAATGACTACAAGTGAACTGCCATGATTACCTTAAAGTTAAATCCAGTGCTTTGGTTTACAACTAAATACTGGTCATTCCCATGAGTCTCAGCTTTACTACGTGCGTGTAGTGCCAATTAGCAAACGTAAGTAGATTCTTTTCTTATAGCTGACTTTACACTCATGACAATATTGATCAGCGGGGCAAACACCTGACCCTTTATGGTGACATGGCACTTAGTGCGTTATCGCAGGCTGATTGGCTGGATTGGGAGCTTGGCAGAAGCACAAGGAATGTGCTTGATAAGCAGCGAGAACATGTACTGCAGGTAAAAGCAAACAGGCTGTTATAATCATTACACAAAACTCCAATTTTACTTGTCGTTTCTTTCAGATCACATCCCGACCTCAGACCACTCTGAGAATTCAGTTATCAGTTATGTTAATGGTTAGTTCGCAATGGCGTCTCTTGTGCTCTAGTGTCCACTGGAAGAAATTCTCAATTTCTACACGGTTCTTACAAAAGTTGTTAATTAAACTGCTGTATCTAAATATTACTCATACTATCAAACTGGCAGTGAGCTCACCTGTTGGCCTGTGTAGATAGTACGTGAACATCTGATAAGAGACAGCCTGCGGGACACTTCCTGGTCGAATACAAAAGTGCATAAGAGAAGATCACAGAACTGTGAGCCCTCAGCAAAGCAATGAGGTCACTATTTGATTTAAAAGATAAGTTTAGACCATCTATGTCTGGCATACTCTGAGACAAACACGTTGAAAAGGGACTCCCCTTTTTCCTATCCACTGTGCTCAACGCAACTTAATTTCGATTTGCAATCCAAAAGTTCTCATGACACCTCCAGACAGGAAAAACAGGCCTGTAGTGAAGCTTTGTTATATCATAAGGACAAAGTTTTCGTTTCAATACTGATTACATAATGACGTTAAATATTTAATCCTCTACTGAGGGAATATGCATGGGCAGAAGTGCCAGGTTAACAATGTGCCAATGGCGAATATTTGCAAAGATGCCTAAGCACCAATTATGACTGTTAGCGCAGAGACCAAGCACACTTTAGATTTAGTTATTTGATTAATCAGAATTTACCAACCCTTCTTCTAAGAACCATGTCAGCCATTTAGTAGCAACACAGTGACGTACTACGGGTCTAGCCTCAGGTTTATAAGGTTTGTTACTGCAGTCATGGAAAATCCAAAATCTCATCCCCATCCATCTGCTGCCACACAGATCGTAAATTTTCACATCAACACACTATCCTATTACCTTTGAGACGCTCCGAGGACATAAGTAGAAATGGGCGTTTTCCCCTCTCATAATTGTTCAACCTCCTGGAGTGGCTAAAGTCAGGTTACAGTACTAAATGACCAACGGCACTCCAAGACAACAGCATTCCTGGTCAGGCCTTACTGCTCCCTTGTACCTATATAATGTGAGGCAATTATCAGTAGTGAATGGACAGTCGTAGAACACAGAAAATAACAGAAGCATTTCAGAGACCGGTTTTGAGGGAAAACCTGCATTCCAGACTCTAACAGTAAATACACTCCCTCATTGCTGAGATCCAAGCATCAAGGAAGGGCACACTCCTACAAAGGTTTTTGCTCACTCAGTAACTCAAGTTTGGAAGATTGTCAATCAAACACACCAAAACAAGAAGTGTTCCCACGAGTTGTTGTAACAGCAGTTTCTCAAGTAATAAATATTTACCACGTTTCCCCATTCACTTCTATTGAAGCTTGTCCAGCTGACAAATATAAATGTGGGTTTCCTGCTCGGGTCACATGTTTTTTTACTGCGTTGTCATCTCACAAAAAAAAGGAAAGAAAAAAATCGCTGTACACATGTTATATAAAGATAATGGCTGTGCTGTGATTTTGGCTAAATGGACAAGTGAAATTATCGCTCAGGGAGAAAGTTAAAAGCAACAGGATGCTTGTAATTTTCTTCTTTCACACACTTATTTTGGGTGTTGCAGCTTTCTAAATTGTACAAAGGAAAAGAGAGAGGCGTGCCTGGGGTGAGAAAGGCCTTTGATAGCTTTTTGTTTCTAAAGCGCTATGAAAAGTCGCTAAGTTTGTAACTATGACATGAAGTGAAGAAGAACGATCGTGGCTTCATACCAGAGTGATGAGAGCAAGGCATCAGAGTTAAGACTGCATGTACCTCCACATGTATAAAAAAAGAAGGAAAAGAAGAAGAAGAAACACGCAAATCCTGAAACTTCCATCCATGCACTTATGCAATGAACGAACCTCAACATTCAAATATTCAGCTGCAGCCCTAGTTTGGTTACCTAACAGGCTCCACCCACCCTGAATGCACACCTGTGCTTGTGTTGGTCCATTAAACTAAGCCTGCATCCAGTCACAGGCACAAAAAAAAATATTTAACAAACAAACTCTGCCAGCAGAATAACATGTTTTTGTCCTGCTTTTGTTGAATTCCTTTCCACAAAGAGCACATAAATGCAGTCACTGCAGTCAGTGGCAAAAGCTTACTGACAACAGGAGTCATTCACGCATGGAGCTTTTGCTGCTGGGCATGTCAGTGACATTAAGTCTGGAAAGGAAGGAGACCAAGGAGAAAACAAACATGAGGATAAAAAAGGAAAACGTATAAGAAACTGTTTGATCACTATCTAAAGTGCCATGATGAAAGTAGCAGACATGCCTCTAATCTCCCTCTTTTTACCTGGTATTATGCTTTTAGATGCATGAAAAGGACAGTCCAGATACAGAGCAGCAGCTTCATCAAGGACAACAAGGGGAAATTTGCTCAGTGTTGCATTAGGAGATTTGAATTGCAAAACAACCGGGAAGGCAGATAGAGGCAGTCTGTGTGGGCAAACAGTAAATATGCACTTCTCCCTCTGCCTCCAACTTGACACTGAACAACAGTTCTGATCCAAAGCATATTTTTGAGGAAGGAGATTTGAATGTTTAATCTAGAACCCACTTGGCCACTGTGACCTCCCCGCTCAGTTTAACACCCTCCAAATGGCAGATGAAATCGAGCAAATTAAATTGGCCAGCATTCTCCACATTTTTGTTTTCGCTCAATGAGTGCAAATTATCAGGATTACCCACCCTGATAGAACAACCGGATTAAGCCAAGGAGAGATGAAGGCCCCTTACCAGAGCCTGACTAACGGGCAGAGCTGCAAGCAGTAACTCAGTCAATTAATCAGGTAGTTAAACTGAAAAATTGATAACTTATTATTTTCATAATCACTTGTTTTAATCCCTGTAATCTACTATTCCTTTAATTTCTATAATTTGTTAGCCTTGGCATCCCAGGCTCTAATGTCACTCAGTCTCTTTCTTCTTTATTTACACTCATGTCTCCTACTCATTCCTCTTAAAGTGTAAAACAACTGAGGGTTTCCAGCAGATTTCCTTTTGAGAAGGATGCATTTCATCTGCTATAGTAACCAAGTGAATAAAGTGCCTGGAACATAAACATGACTGGAAACCACCTCACTGTTTGGCAGTTACTTGTCAGAAACCATCTGGTGTCTGACTTTAAATTCCCGTTTATCTAAAGAAGTACTTTCGTGCATAAACATTGCAGGTACAGAGACACCAAGATTAGAGCAATTTAGCCACCACACTAAATAAACTTTCTGCTTCCTAAAATACTAATTTGCTAACTGAAAATGCCTACAAGCACACAAAACAAACAAGTGGTTTGATCACATCTCTCAAGGTAGTTAACAAAAAGAACAGAAGCTAAAATGCTCAAGCTGACCCATGATCAGATGCTACTACACTTTATTGCAACAGATCTAGCAAGCTGTAAGTTGACCTCCTCACCCCTGCTAATCATCTTTCCACTCTACATGCACACAAAGTACATTTAATCTAGTGGGCAGCTTAATGACAGATTTTTTTTTAAATTCTTAATTCCCAGCTTTAAGCATGCTCCACATATTTTTTCATGACCACATAGTAAACAAACCAGTACCAAACACTTCCAGTGATACTTACTTCCTCAGTTTTGATGCGTACCTGAAGTAGATCATTTATCTTTTTGAAATGACAGTGACTTTTTGCAGTGGCAGTTTCCCTCAGTACAACACACACAGTATAGAATATCACGCCACTACTCAGTTGGTGTGTAGGCTGAAGAAGAAGAAGACAAAATCTCCTGTAGACCCCTGTCCTCAGGAAGTTGTGAGTTCTCTTTGTGCAACAAGGCCCAGCACGAGGCATTTCCTACCTTTTGCCTGGGGACTCTCCACACCAGAAGAACGTTGACTGACCCTGAAGACTGTGTGTTTTGTCGCCAACTCCGGGACTCAACTCTGAAACCTGAAAGACAGGTGACGTTTGTGGAGAAAGATGGCTGCCGCATGGCATGACCTCCGAGCCTAGCAGTTTTATGTGAGTCAAAAGGCGAGGAGTGCCTGCTTGATGTTCCCGCAACTAGCTGGGCTGACCGCATGTTCGAGCGCGAGCCAGAACCAATGAAACATCTGTGAACCTTGTTCCTCTCCTTCCAGGAGCAGAAGTTTCCTTTCATTTTCCATTTTATTTGTCAGGGACCATGTCCAAACAAACAAAACATTAATCTCCTAAGAGAGGAGGTGCATTATACCAGATTTAGCTGCTAGCTAATTTCCATCTGCAGTCCCTGAGCATTTCAAATAACAAATAAAAATACACAGAAACACATCTACAGTTAGCAAATTATACTAATACAAATGTAGCTGATAGGTCTATACACTAATTCAAGCATCTCGGCTACAATTTAAAACCACATGGTACCACAGTATCCATGTGAAGTTATAGTCACAGCACTTTGCTTACTAGCCCCAGATAGACAGCTGGTATAAAGCCCATTTTCCCATCATAATGCAATCACAAGCAAAGAATTTGTTCCCTCAACAGGCTGATAAGTCTCTCAAACTAAGTAATCTTGGCTAAGCGCTTTTGCTCTGAGAAGTTTTCTTTATGCTGCAGAAAACTATATAATGAAAAAGAAACAACTAAAAGCAGAGTTATTATTTTATCTGGAGTACAGTATTTCTTTGTTGCGACATGAACTGAGTTTTCTGCATTCGTCCCACCTTTGCCTAAGTAGTTTCACTGACAGAGCGCATGACAAAGGTGTATCAAAAGAACAAATGTGTGTCTAATGTCCTGATAATTACAGAGTGCCACCCACACCTCTGCATACGCCTCACATTATACCAACGCCTCTGCCAAGGTGAAATACTTGGTATTAACTTCTAATTATCCTGCTTTTGAAACACATACAGTAACCTAATAGTGCTGATTATCATGCTCAGGAGTCAAGCGATTCCTAATCTCTATAGTCTTTCTCAGCACCAAGTTTACCACTGTGGTTAATTTTAGGGGTACTGATCACAATGGGCTCATGTTGCTAGTGGCAGTGCAGGTTTCCTACCTCAAAGCGGGGGATGAACAAGGGGGTAAGGAGAAGGAGGAGGACGGTGTGCAGACTTTAAAACAAATCACACAGAGATTAAACTTCACTAGAAAACAGTGCAACTCAATTTGGACTTTGTAACCTGCTAAAGAAAAATAGAGTGATGTAGAAACACTGATGTGACTACAGGGGTTAACATTAATGTCTTTTCTAAAAAAAAAAAAAAAAAAAAAAAGCTATTCAAGATGGAAAAATACTTAAAACAGTATTTTTTCACAGTGCTGTTATATATACTATTACATAATAACTATAGGTCTTGGTTGCATTTTTTTTAATATTTGTCTTGTGGCTTGGCCTGTTCTAGTCAGATGGCATATTAATAGTCTGAAAGGTCCAAAGGAATAAGACAGATTGCATGTAATATTAAACAGGACCATTTCTGGCAGAGAAAAATCAAAAAGAAATCTGTCTTAAATTACTTCAGAAGGGCAGCTCACGATTATACTAATTTTTCCTTTAATCATGAGTATTTTAAACGTAAAAAAAAAGATATTCATTTCACACTGGCATGAAACAGAGAACAGCAATAAATTTTGTCATCAGAGAGGCTTATTTTTGCATGACAAATGACTGAAATCATAATTCTATTGCAGAATGTCAACTAAACAATTCACTGTACAATCACTTTAGCCCACACTAATTTATCATTTTGACGTGTGCAACGTGCTGAAGCTATGTCAGCACTGACTGGACAACCACACACACAAAAAAGACATCAAGCGGTTAGTTCCAGCCATGTCGGACAGCTGTAAAGGCCTCTTTTATTAGTCAATATCACAACCACATTAATGCGTCCCTGGCCAGCTCAGGTCTCACTGACAACCCCTCACCCACACCTTTTCATCAGGGGCTATGAAACCTGAGAGGACCCTAAAGCAGACCTGCAGGCATGGCACAGACCCAAGCACACACCCCACAGACTGTGCGCCTTCCTGGCTTTTACTGAATACTCTGCTGTGAAAACCACAGTGAAAAAAGCAATAGCGTAATCCCCAGTGTTATTCATTAGAGATTTTACAACTGTAAAGTAATAATCCGTGATCGGTGTGCAGCATTTAAGTCCAGCGCTGTGCTGGATTTGGATTTGTCCTGATGGATTTGCTGCATGTATTGTTCTTGACAAATAACGCAATGCATTATTTTCTCTATTTATGCATTTAAATTGGTCAGTTCAAATATTTACAGAATAATCTGCTTTTATATCATGCAGAAAGAAACAAAAATTGCATATTTAATCACATGTAAATCTTAAGTTATTTCAAAAAGAGTGGAATGTGTAGGGCACTGAATTTGTTGTTGGATAAGCAACAAGAAATCAATAAGATAAGAAAAGATTAAAAAAAGATATGGTATAGAAAATATATTTTTACAGTCCAGGTTCTGCTGGGATATACTTTCGAAAAGGCAATAACACAATGTCTTATAATTAAAAGTACCCAATGAAGTTTTTGCCCTTGTGTGTCATCATGTCAGCACTTTTGTAGTGTTTATTTGTCTCATGTATGCTAACAATGATGCACATGCATGCAACTATGTTCAATCTATCAACAAGTTCAGGGTTTTCATTTAAAAAAATCCAGCAATGATCCAGAGACAGAGAGGAAGAAATCTGCAACACAACTTTGAAACAACAAAAAATGCCCCTTGATTTTGTTTGTATAAAAGACAACCCCACGGGGCACCTTTAAATACTTTGTGAGTGTAAAAGACCTTTATCTAATGTGCTGCTGCAATTCTATCTACATGGCTCCTAAAAAAAGCAGAAAAAAAAGATTCAGGATGTATTTTTAAAAGCTGCCCATACAAGTAGGTTACTCTATGTTTTACCATACACATGGAAAATGCACTCATGACATATGACACTACCATATAACAATGAGGGGCTTATAGGTCCAAACAATAGAGCAGGAGTGGTCCTGTAAGAGCACCAGAGTAGGAATGCACACACATAACCGAACACACTTTTCAGCTTCCCCAAAGGGGGGTCTCGCCCTAGCCAGTAATAACCCCTGGCAGCCATTTTTCTTCTTCATGTCCGTCCATTATGTAGGACTTTAACGGGTTTTCTGCTCCTCTGACAAAAGAAGGAGGATCTGACCATAGCTCACAACTACAGACAAGTGAGTTGTCAAAGCCATTGTAAATAAGCCCCCGTCATTGCCTGCAGAACAGAGCCCTGGAGTAAAAGACAGGAAACGAGGAGGGGAAAAAAAGCAAGCAAAAAGAGCTGAAAAGGTTCCATCTGTTTAAGTCTGCTGGATGGTGATGGGGACAGCCTTGCCTGTTTCTCAAACACGGAGCGTGAAGGACCCCCTCAAATGTCTGGAAGGCCACCCATGCATAAGGAGAGAGAAGATGACGGTCAAAGTGAAGGGCGCTCAGACGATCTTCATCTTTATGTATGCATGCATATAGACAGTGATGATTTAAAATAAAGACTTACATGTGATCAGCCATCATTTTTACCATTGTTATACCCTTTATACTAAAGAAATGATTCAATACAAAATAAGGAGAAAGGGTATCCAAAACTATGACTAGGTATATGATGATGAAGAGTCCTTAAGTTTCCTCATATTGCCCAACATCACAGAAACCATCTAAAGGCAAAAGGACATTTTCACCTAAGTGTCTATCATATAATAGCATGCTTTAAAAAAAAAAGTCAACACCAGTTATGCATCTAACCTTGGTATCTAAATGTTCCATTTGCAGCTCGTCTGGTGCAACTTAATAACAACACCTACAGACTTCCCTTGTTTAGTTTATTACTTATTAATCATGTAGGGCAATTTGGGCTTGAATACAGCCTACAAGCAGGTTTTTCTCTTCCTCTTGTGTGCTCTTACTTTAGGCAACTATAAAAGAAAAATCAACTGATCTGCTATGATTTCCTCATCAGGACCTCATCAAAGTCACTCCAGTGCAAGTGAGCATATCTGAATACGTATACAAAACACAGAGGCACGCTAAAATCCTCTTCAATTATCACACCGACCTTCCCAAGGGCACGACTTTCAACAGTCTTACGAATTGGACCACTAAACATTATAACACCTAACATCAGCTCTAACTAGGGTTTAATTAATATGTTACAGTATCAACACGACAATGTGCCCACGCTTTAAGAAAGACTAACCTCTTTCTGGATGATATAAGGTCAGATATAAAGTCTGGGTAATAAAGTCAGACTTTAGTGGTCCAGTTTGTAAGGTAATAAAGTCTGACTTTATTACCCCTAAAATCTTGATAACATTGTGTCTGAGGACTTTGGTCAGCAAACATGTTTTCGCTTTTACCTCAAACAAACACATTCTGATTCATTTTATTTTTAAAATGAATGACGCACTGCTTTTATACTTGGTCACTACGTTCCAGACGTGGACCGCTACAATTTGAGATACTGCACAGATTACACTTTTCCCAAATCTTTCCTTCTGTGATAAACAAATCACTCTATACGGGGTGAAAGCAGCCACCCTGGAATTGTCAAATAATTGGTACCGGTTTGCGTTATTGTGAACACAAAGACATGGATGTTGAAATGGAAACAAAAGAAACCACCGGGCCACCTCAGCTTACCAAAACATGTCACGAAACACAGTTGTAAGGGATCAAATTCTCCCTGAGAGAAAATGTGAATTTGTTCGATATGGCACAAATCAAACACACATTTTATCTGCAGTATTACCTGTGACATACTTCCAATAAAATCTCAGAGTACTTTTTTTCTCGCAAAAAATATGGTGATATTTAAGTTCCTACTGACCAAAAACCCCTAGAAAAAAATCGCCACTTAGTATGCTCTTAAACTTCTTTCTTATAGCTGATTACAGCATGCCTGCGTCAATCCTTTCGTTCATCAAAAGACGCCAGTGAACTTAACACCTAATTCTATGACTCATTCATGATATCACTTTTTTCTTTCACAGCGGTATACATTTATCTTCCCGGAACCAACAATGCCATTCACACATCAGTCTCACATCATTCAGGTTCAAAGCAAAAGGTATATTACATCAAGCCTGCACTTCCATCATGTAAACAATCCACTTAAGGCTAACAGAAACTAACAGGCTTCTCATTGAATTACAACTTAGAGACCTTCCTGCTACATCTTACGCCATTATTTCACTATGATGCCTCGTGCAAAGTTCAAAGTGAGGCTGATAATGGTTTAATTACTGCGCTGTTAAGTAATGTGTTAAAGATTTCTGTTACTTTCAGCTGCTTTGTCTCTGAAATTTAATGAGATTTTCTGTGTAATCCCATTTCATCTGGATCAACCACAAAAACCTCAGTTTCTACAGAAATAATCTGAAACCTATGTGAACTATAACCTCACGCCCAGAGCCAAGCCAGTCGCTTCAACCTTGCAGTGGTTGGTTGTATAAAAGGTCACAAAAAGAATTTAAACATCCAAAACTACATACGTTCAGCTGCAGTGTGAGTAATTTTCCACCACTCGAGGAAAAAAAATAAACATAAAAATGACCATGTCCTACAGGTCGAACAGAAACATACCGCATGCAGGGTTGAATTCCTACAACATTACATACTTTACTTTTTTTCCCTAAAAAAAAAGAGAGAGAAAGAGAGAGGGAGAGAGAGAGAGAGCAAGGGGAAGACTGAGATCAGGTTTCAACACCCAGTCTAAGTTTACATTTACACCCCATGGCTTTGTGACCCTACTCTCATTTATAACGCTACCCTTCTGCTATTTGCTTCCATCTTTGGTTTCCGGCTTTCTTTCTTCTTTATACTTCCTGCAAACAACACTTACTCAGGCTACAGTCCAAGCCGCCACCTGTACGCAACCATTACCAAATATTTGTATTGCCACATGCTAGCTGCCAATTGGGATCAACAGGTGTTTATGCAAGCACCTCTGGGCTAAGTCCCTCATCTCTCTGCATGCATTACTCTTACATAATTATACCCAAATATCTGAGTGCGTGCTGCTGTCAGGTCAGGCTCTGTGGACGTAGCTGGGGTTGAGCCAGGTCAGCAGCCCCAAACATGGCATCCTCCAGCAGTGGCAACAGCAGCACACAGAGAGGCCAGTGTGCTCCCACCATCTGACCAACCTCACAGCCTAAGTGCCTCAGTTTCAGCTCCAACACAAAACACCAGTGTCTAGTTTCCCTTTAAATAAAACATACTCCACTCATTAGCTAAAAAGCCCCCCCACTCCTCCCTCCCTCCTTGTGCATAATTGAGCGCTAGGTATCAATTTAAGGCAATGAAGTGAGGTTAGAGCAGGACAGTACTATGTTTTTTTAGTTGTTTTGATTTGTTTCAACCAACAACCAAAGCATGAGTAAGTAAGGTACAACACAGCAATTTAATATGGTGATAACAGTAGTTAGGGTTTAGGGTTGTTTCTATCCAGTCCTCAGTATCTATTACAAGCTTATCAGTCAGCTGTCAACTCAGATATTGCTTATTATCTCCCACTGTTACCTAACATTCATGAACAGTAATAATAATGTCTATTAATAATAAGCTGCTAACATTAACGCAGATAAAACCTCATCATATTACAAACTAAGGAAAACTATGCGATTTTAAAGGTTAAGGGTATAGATTAAGAATTACATCTAATTTACACACACACATACATATATAATACATTTATTAAGTATTACAAAATAAATAAGTAGCGATATAAGCAGCCTAGATGGGCTTTGCTAAATACCACCAGATCCTACTACTGACCTCACCTCCCAGTAATAAAACTGAACTGAGACCAGCTGTAGCTTATTCGTGGACACTTTAACTTCCCACAGACACGAAAAACAACTTGTACAACAGCAACAAGAGGTCTGACTGTAAGGTGTCACTGTCATACAGGTATTCTGCGAACATTTTCACTAATAAACCAACAGGTTAACAGCTGACAACCGAAACTGAGCAGCCACGGCGATACTGGATGCACCTGCTGCCACCCTAAACTACCCTCAACGTACCTGCCGATTCCCGCTTCCTTCGCGGTCCTCAAACTGTAGCTTTACTCTTGGTTTGTTGTCTTCAGTGGGTTTCCTCTTCGTTTATCAGTGATAGTTACACTAACTAACTAACAAGGACGGCTCACCTGTATATGGTTAGCTGGCGTGTCTCGCAACCTCTGGTAATGAGCTTTCCTTTTCCTCCGTCCGCACTCAGCTTACCTTATTCCCTGGAGAGAGAAGCGGATGAAAGGTAACGGAGGACCAAGGTGGCCAATTAGACGTGGCGGGAGGCGGGCGAGGTGGAAATGCACGACATCCTATTGGTCAGAACACATTAATGGCGGAACAGTGGAAAAGTTAATTTCCCTGTATTGTTTTCATTTATAAAAGAGAGAGAGAGAGAGAAAGAAGGAAAGAGGCGCAAGCTGGAAGCAAGCTGAAGCTAAACTTCAAATATAAAAAGAGAAAATTTTGAAAATAAAATTGTCTATAAGAAGCGATGTTTAAAATGTGCCTAAATAATAAAACTAAAATGTGGCAAGTTGCCTTTACAAAGAGTTAATGTTCTCAGGCCGGTGCAATGTGGATTGAAAGGAGCTAATCATTTCTAAGAGGCTCTGCCATGCAAAGCTATATAAACTACTTTTGTCTCATGCACAGAAAGATTAATTAGGCACCTTTTTTTTAATCTTACTGAAAGACACGAATTACTGAGGCCAAACAATTTGGGTGGTTTGGGATGTCATGAGCTCACTGTGAAGATATTCAGGGAAAGTCAGGTTATTCTAATGTCGTTTGTTACTGAGTCACAAACACTGTATGATCTCAGATTGCATTAGTTACTGTAAGCTCCATAAAGGCATATTCATGGACATGTAAAGGTATATTTAGTTCATGGACCACATTCAGTGTAATTTAATTCTATAAACTATCTTCAAGCTAACTCTACAGTCAATATTTTTTCCTTAAACTCTACATTGTTCTGTCTGTTCCTTTAAACTCCCCGATTCAAGATTAAATGAAGCACTTGGGGTGTCTCTTTTTAGTTATCCATCACCTCTGTGCATGTCACATGGTCTGACTAACAATCAACTGAAGTGGCAATCCACTGATAATATGGCAAAAAAAAAAAAAGAAAAAAAAAAGGACAGGATAACAGCAATGACAATAGCAACTAATGGCCACTTGGTGGCAATTCATTCACTGTGGAATGAAGCCTAGGCTTTGTCCTGGGTCAGCAGCCATCTGTGGTGTACACATCACTACATAGGGTTGATAAAATGATGTCACACTGTGTAAAAAGAGACTAGAGCTGGATAATTCAAATACAGCTTCATATGTGGTTCACCACTCTCTGATTACACACCATGACGGTTCATTATCACTGCTTAATGCAAAGTATTTTCACTAGACGTGGGAGTCACCAGTCACCCCACAAAATATGACCAGAATACTTCACTCACAATATATCATTGTGATTTTTTTTTTTTGACATTTTCCAATATCCTGAGTGTTGCAACAACATATACTGCTATTTATAACTTTTTTTCAACTGCAAGTTATGTCCTCAAAGTTTAACTATATCGGTTTTATCCAATAAGCTCAAGTTAACTCTCGTCAGGTATGTTTTTTTGCTGCAGAGTGAAATTGTCACATTTACACAGGAGTTACTTCAAACTGCAAGTGTTTGCAGAAAGGTTTCCTCCTATCAAGAGAGATGAGTACTTTTACTTTGTAATGTATATTGTGACTCCAGGACCTAACTTGTATTTGTATTTAGTTAGGGTGTTTTATCTTTTTCATTCTAGCAAGATTTGCCATTCTGATATTAAGTTTGGAAACAACAAACAACAATAATTGCAAGAGTTCATTATGCTTTACTACCACAGACAAATTTTGTAGACTGTTTCTTGAGATTGCATATTTAGAAATGAGGTAATCTTCCTTGTGCAAACTGTTTTAAGGGGGGAAATACTTCAGTCTAGATGGGTGTTAGTCCCATTTTAGTTTGCAGGCCACATACAGTATCATTTGATCTCATTTACCTCAAGCCACTAAAACTCACTGCATAATTACATTTCCAAAACGTTCCTTTCCTGGGTAAAGAAGTACACGGATTTTCTGAAAACATTTGCATTTAGTGAATCATCCAGACTTTTAACAGACTGAGATGTCTGGAAAAAATAGGAACAATTTCAACAATGGTCTCAGTTTTTCCACATTCAGTCAGCGTGTCATCGCAGAGAAATGCGTCTGCAGGGCCCCTCAGCTTATAAATATTACTTCAGTGTGGGATAGCAAGGTTAAATTGACAATGACTCAGACATTTGGCTTCGACTAAATTAACAGCTCTGATCACCACCCTTATGATGTGCTTGATTTTTTGCAACATGATGTGTTCCTGGTGAAAAATATGTCAAAAAGTCCACTAAAATAAGCCCTCATTCCCTGCAAGACTGCACTCTTTAGAGAAAGCAGTTCTGTTTTGTGTTTGTTTAACTGGTGCTCCCTTCATTAAGTACACCTGTTCAACTGCTTGTTGACCTGGCAACAGCGTGTGGTACAGGAGGACCTGCCAAGGTTCAAATGAAGCATCAGAAAAGGAAAGCAAGGGGATTTATTTTAGGGACTTTGAACAGAGTATGGTTGTTGATGCCAGATGAATTAAGAGTTCCGGAGGCAAAACATGAAAGAGAAATTTATAAATTGTTAAGACACAAAACACGTCAGTTGCTTTAAACTACATCAAGTAGAAAATCTAAAGCTGATGGAAATGGGGAGAAAAAAAACCAAACAAAAACAAACAAAAAACAGCACTCTATTAAACATATCCATATATATTTTATTCTCAATACGGCAAAATACAAAGAATATTCAGGACAGACTTTTATTAGTCACAATTAATACTCACTTCACAAGAATGCTTTTAAATTACATTACCTAAGTTTGAAGATCAAACTTCAATGAGTACCTTTAATCATATTGCATCCATCATATATAGCATCTATCATCAGTTCTCTTAAAACTAATCCAATTTAGATTATTGTACATAGTGTATGCTGCTGGTCTCGGCTCTGAGACAACTTCTAGAAAAAAAAGGTGTTATACAACTTACTGTATAAACTGCTACAACTGGTTTTGATGTGTAGAGAAATACCTCTGTTTCAAAAGACATGTTGGACCAATTGTTCAAAAGGGACACATAGTAAATATACCTCTCTGAGGAAGAAACAGACATGGTTTTACAGAACAGACTGTACACATGCCATCCATCCATCCCATGAGATCAACAATATACACTTCATGAAAAAGTACACAGCTCCATATCAAATACAGAGAAGACAAAATATTCGCACTTGGATTGAGAGACGTTAATGATTATGCGGCGACTGTGATACTGAGACAGTGAAGCAGAAGACAAAGAATACCAGCACAGTTAGAAAAAGGACTGAGAAAGCATTTGATATACAGAGTTAACAGACTAGGAGTGTAATCTGTAACCACTTGGAAGAAAAAAAAGAAAAAAAAGAAAAAAAAATGTGCATAAAGTATATCTCACAAGTATATTTACAGCATTTTTAAATTTAATAAAAATGTCAACCTGTAGTAGAAATTCACCCTTAAAGAAATGTTATATTTACAATTTATACATTTGTATTTAAATAGAAACATGCAAGTGTTAACATTTTCCTACTGAATAAAAAAAACAAAAAACAAACTCATCTTACCCTGGATTCTTTCAAGTTAGAATTAATATTAATTACTAATTACAATGAAATCTCATCCTGAACAACCCCGTTACATTTACACCTTCCCATTTCATAAAACGGTGCTCATTAAAAAGGCAAAATAGGAAAGAAACATTAAGCAAAAGGGGCAGAAAAATAAATAAGTATGAGTAGCAAATCGTTAAAAATTTTCTCTAATGCTAAATTTTTATTTTTTTCGTTTTAGGATATTTTTTTTTTTAATTCATTTCTTTTTTACATTTGAGTACAAGATAGTGTAGGGAACACAAGGCGCTGACCTCTACTTACAAAGTGTACCAGTGTATGAAGACATTGACTGGGCTGGCAAAACCCACAGAGGAATTCCTATGAGAAAAGTGGCCTCCAGCTTTAAGTAGAAAATGGCTAAAGCCATCTGTGTTTGGTTATAAAATCAGATCTATACACACACACACACACATCCATGCACCCACACATGAACGCACACACATACAGCCAAGCTCGCATACTAAACCAGTACACAAAATTGCAATAGCTAAAGGCATTGGATTTGAGTTCAACAGGTTTCTCACTGAGGTGGGAAAAAGAAAGTGGGGGACAGAGGAATCCCAAACATAAAAATATAATTATTTTTTCCACAGAAACGGTTTCTTTTTTTGTAAAAATCCTGCATAGATTAAAATAATACCTCCTATGACTTGCTTCTTTTTTTTTTTTTTTTTTCAAGTGTAAGAGAAAATAACAGTATCCCTTCCTACAACAAAGGCCAGGGAGCCAGTAAAAGAAAAAAAAAATGACAAGAAAAAACAGGAAAAAAAGGAAGGGTCAAACCTGGGCCAAACAGCATTTTGTTTAGTCTTGACATGCAGGGGGAAAAATAAATTAAAAAAGGCATTATAGATCTTTCTGGCACGTTCTTGTCCAGCCAAAACAAAATGAATGCCATCTGGTCCAGGCTTTAGTATTTCCAGCATATTTTGATAGAAAGTGGGCTTGAAACAACCAAAATGGACAGTTCATGTAAGTGAATTACTGTAAAATCCAAATGCCAACTTAAAAATCAACGCAATGTTAACATACTGCGCCAGCTACTATCTTGTAATACAAGTGCGATTACAGTTTGACAACTTTAAATAGGAACATATACAAATACTTGTTCTTATAACCTCTGTTGTAACCCTGCTTTATGCGTCTGACATGTTATACTTATGCTTGGCTAGAAGGAAGTAAAAGAAACTGGTTGGTATATAAATAAAATCTATATTGGTTTTTATACTTTTTCTTGAAATATATAATGATAGATTTAAAACTCTGCTGTATAAATACAACACTGATCATCTGCATCGCTGATGAGTTCCATTCCCCAGACAACATATTTCCCTTCAAATAAATTAGCTTCTGTTAAGCCAAATTAGCGGCAACTTAGGCCCAGTTTTTATAAAATGTACTGTGACTGCATTGGATGTGGACATGATCTTCAATACTTACACACTCCCTGCTGTTCCCTAGAAAAATAGAATAACACTGATTTGGAAACAGCTCGTCCTCTAGGAAATTTTTGAATGAACAATGCCGCTACGAGTGGGAAAGAATTGTGAAGCTTCAAAGAGGCGGAAAATCTCAACATTTGCCATCATCAATCTTGCTGAGGTCTCCCGCTAGCGACCCCTGGAGGCCATGTGAAGCGTTTAATTTATTAGAAAGGGCAATCACATTTCATGATTCTGAAAAATGAAATGGCACTTTTTGAGCCAAGTACACCGATCAACAGATGTCCTAAGGGATCATTAATAAATATGTGTGTGCCCCACGAAATCTGCTGTGCACAGTAGCCCTTCCTTCAGTCCTTAAATCTTCAGTGGGATTCTTCAAGGTTTAATTTGTGGTGACCAACACCATCTTTGCAAATACATAAAAAACAAAACAAAAACAAAACACAAACCCAGTAAATGCTGCAAGAATAACTGCTGAAACAACTGTTAAGTGTTAAAAAGACAAAAAAGTAAAAACTGTGAAAAGAAAAGAAAAATAATTGAATCAGATATGACCGGTGACTTTTCCTGTAGCTGACATACAAGGCACAGAAATGATAAAGAGAAACCTTCATTTTTAAAGCACCTTTGGTGTTCATGGGAGGTACTTTGGTGAAACAAAGACAAATAAAAAGTTCAAAGCCAAAGTAGCCTAAAAACCAAAGCAGAGTTTTAGTGTATTCATAATAAATAATTCACCCAGTGCTTCCATGCTGAAGAGATTAAAAACATGGCCTTCGAAGATTTCTTAAGAATGCCGATATATGTGTGAAGCCAGGCGATAAGCTCTTCTGACTCCTGCTGCAGTTTGGATGCTTCTCCCTGTGTGGTGCCGTCGAAGGTGAGAGATGCTCTAAATTGCTCAGTGTTGGTATTTTTGTCTTGTTTTTTTTGTTTTTTGTTTTTTTTGGCAAGCTGGTGTAGGAAATGGACACAGTGTTGGAGATATGTCTGAGAAGTTCATCACACGTGTGTGTAAATGGAGGACCAGAGGAGGGTTGTGTTTGTGTGTCTGTCTTTTTTGAGGGCATGCGTGCGTGCGTTTGTGTGTCTGTCTCTGAGCAGATGTTGCCAAACACAAGAGGCTGAGGTGTGGGTGTGTGGAAAAGCAGCTTGCAGGGAGTGAGTCCTCGCTAGGGACTAACTTTTGCGTCCAAGCGCAGCCAGTGGAGGCCCTGCCGAGTGTAACGCACCAGTTCTGTCATGCTGCTGGTGTTGAAAATCAGAGGTCCCATAACTTTGTCCAACTCTGTGAAGAAGTCTGGAAAAGAGGGAGAAAGAAAGCGAGTGAAAGACTGGTTAATAAAATGACAGAAGATTGATAAATTCGGTCCTATTACCAACCAGACCACACAGAGTTAAGTGCAATCAAGGGTTTTAATGTACACCGATTGTAGAGACAAAAAACATTTTCACAATTTGTCACATTTGTCAACATGTGTGACGGGAAAAACCAGCCAAAGGACACAGACTGAGAATCCCAGCTGCACACAAAAACAGCCAAGCAATGAGGCAATCAAGAACAGCCCGATGTTTCAATGTTTCCAATGTTTGTTATCTTCACTCTCCACAAATATCTCAATACTAAGTCAAAAAAAAAAAAAAAAAAAAGGAAAAAAAAATCTTGATTTATTGAAGATTTAATCTGAGGCATAAACTGCAAGAAAAAAGACAAACTATTTGGCCTCAAATCCTCGTCCAGCAAACCTCTCAACTATGAGGGGAAAACCCCAAACTCAGCGCAAACACACACACACACACACACACACACACACACACACACACACACACGGCGGTGAAAATGGCCAGACAGCTAGGGAAAATTGTGCACTTAGTGATGCTGCTGACTTTTCCATCTTTAGATTGTGGCGATAACGTTGTGTGGGCTGTGGACGATTGAGTGTTTCTTGTAAACGCAGTAGTTTTTAAATCAGAAGTTCAGTCAATCACAAACATGCTTCGAGCTATGAAATTTGCATTATTACTATATTGCAATGATTCGAATTCAAAAAACAGTTTGACATCTGTAAGTAAAAAAAATGAACACATTTTATTTATAGGTAGATAAATAAAATCCGTTTTTGCAAATTAATCTAGAACACAGATGTTAGATTGTGGGCCAGATACGGCCCACTTTGATCTTAAGTGGGTCAGAACAGGGAAACTCCCCTTTCCATCATTGTAAAGAACTTTAACTACACATTTACTCTCTGTTATCTTAATATATTCAGTTCTTTTTAAAGTTGCTTAGATAGCACCAATTCACAACAGTCACCCATATTATATTAAAATATGTACTATAAAGTAATATAAGAAAAAGAAGTGCAATCTGAAGAAATGTTGCTCTAGTAAATGACATGTCTGTTGGCACGACCTAAGTGTTCTGGTAGCTCATTGCCAAGACTCCTGTATATTTATAAAATATATAAAAGCTCTAAAATAGAGATGAGAGGAAAGAAACGTTGAAAAAGAGGCATGCTAAGATCGTCTGATAGCAAATTAGTCCTATTTGAAGCTGTTTTTAAACTTGGAAAGAGCCCAAAAAAAAAAAAACCCCACAAAAAAAAAAACCAAAAAAAAAAAACAACCCAAAAACTAACAGTACATTAACCATTTAAAAAAAAAACAACTATCTGCTTTTTTACTTTAAATAAATAAATAACAGGAAAACAGACTGAACAAACTCATTGCCTTTATGGTAAACAGATCTCAAGGCCTACTCTGTGACAGGAAAAACACTTCATTACCAAAACATTTCTGCAACCAAGGCAAATAAAACCTTCAAATTAGTCATAAAATGCAGCTGGGGAAAAAAATTCAACAAAAAATGGTCTGCATGCTCGATCAGCCAACCTGCTGCCCATTTGTATAGATCTATACTCAAATCTCTTTACACAGTGGGTTCAAATAGTGCTGGCAAACATCTATGAAAAACCTTACTGCTGCTGCTGAGCTATTAAAGATGTAGAAAATAGCAGCTCAGGATATATAGCTCTAGATCCCATCTGTGTTTGCTTTTAAACATAAATTTAAAAGTCCAGAACAAAGACCATATGTCTCTTCCTTTTAACTAACAAGCAAATCCTTGTGTCCTATACCTTTTTGCTCTTTAGATAGTTGCTCAGCCTGGTCCCAGACCTCGGTGGCGTACAGGAAGTTGGAGGTGACCTGGACATAACTGGCAGCCATCTGGTGGATCCGCTGAGGTATGGTCACAGACGAGCTAGTGCTGCTGGTACTGCTGACTGCTGAGTAGCCACCCGCTGTGCCCGGTGAGAGTTTGGGAGATACTGGAGAGGGCATACCTGCCGTCTTACTGCATCAGGAAACAGAAATAAGCAGACATGGCAATGAGTTTCCTGGCACTGTGAGGGAGAATCTGGGAGTCACTTGACAGAACAGCAAATAAGAACCTCTCCTTTACTTTATACATCAAAAGATGTAACAGAGGATGTGACTTACTTTCCCATTCCAGGAGAGGGAGCTTGGGTGTTGCTCAAAGAGTTCTGGAAAATGAAATAAGAAGAACATTATGCACACACAGAGGAAGCAGGTTACATATTCACAGAGAAAAACGTCTTTCATGGAATTTTACTGCACGTCTTTGGTTTTGAAGGTCTGCCAAGGAAATAAAGTTAATAATAAAAAGTACCTTTAGGTGTTCGGTGAGTGTTTTAGAGTATTTTAGGGCGCTGTCTTTTCTCAACTTGAACAACCGCAGGTAGAGAAGAGACTGGCATCGCAGGCTGGAAGCAAAAAAGGATAAATATTGATCTAAACTAAAGAAAGAAGCAACAAATATTTGAAATGTGTGGAAAGTTTAAGTTACACGGCCAGGTAATGAGTACTTGGAGTTGACAGCTGAAGACAAGAGTCCACCACCTGATGTTGTTCAGTGTACTCACCACAGCACAGCTAGCCTCTTGTCTGCTGGAGTAGCATCTGGGGCCATGTAGCTTTTTAACTTCATAGTGTATCTGGATGCAGAGACAATCAAGAGCTCAAGTTTTTAGGAGAAAAGGATTGAAGCAAATTAAGCACCTCCTTAAATATTGTACTTTTTAAAGGAGCACTCCATCCACTAAGTATCAAAACCCATGCAGCAGAGGCAGAGACTTGTTTGTCAAAGCCTGGTGCTCACATTACCCACAATGCAAATCAACCATTAGCGTGGTGTGTTATGCAACTTGTGCCTCATGCAGCCCTGAGGTGCTTGGCCTTTGGCACAGAGATACAGGTTTTGTTTTTCTTGAACAACTACGTCCTCATATATAGTAGTTCTCACCAGTGGAGGTCTCCTTTAAAGTGTAATTCTGCTGACAGTGATAAACACAGCTATGGCTGCCCTTACTTGATAAGCTCCACGGTTTCAGCATACATGGGGAAAGGAGACTTTGCCTCTTGAGCGCTCTTCTCCAGCGCGTTACCACATTCAATGAAAGACACCACAGCATCCAGATAGAAAACCGCCTTGTCAAAACGGTCAAACTGCAAAGGAATATAAATAAATAAATAAATAAATAAACTACCTTCACATGACAATAATTTGACATGGTTTTGGTCAGTAACATTAGATAAGTGACATGGTTTGAATATGACCTGGTTGGGATTGCATAAACTGATCATATCACTGAAGTAATATTATATGCTGATGTAGCTTATGATCCTGATTTTGTGTTTAAAGAGAAAAGAAGAAAACAGCAACTAAATAATTACATTTTGAGTAAGAATAAGAGAATCCAACAGAGATGGCTATTTTGTAATGCAAGTGTACATAACAGATACCAAACAGATCCACCTGCTCATCTACAGTGACCCGGTAATAAAAGCATTTTTATTACTATTTTTAAGGAAATCACACAGAGCTCAAACTAAAAGCAGCTTTGAAAACTAAGTAAAATTTCACAGTCACCACAAAAAAGTCACTGTGAAATCACTTTCTGCATAAAAGGAAACCTGTTATTATATGTGACATAAAGCACCATAGAAAATGTCATTTAATGTTTTAAAGTCCTCTCAATTACACCAGTCATTGGGGTCTTGCTCTTACCAGTGCATCTGCATTGTGTTTAAGTTTCTTGGCCTCCTGTAAGTAGTGATCTGCTGAATGGACCCTGAAAGAGAATAATGAGAAGGTTTAACAAATCAAATCATTTAAGCGTTCTTGACACTGTGGCGTGCTTTTTATATCCACTAAACGTAGAAACTTTGAAAGAATGTCATAAAAAAAAGTCTCTTAACTCCTGAAATAGCTCTTATCTCATTAAATCAAAATGTGAAGTGAAAAGGTATGAAAATAAGAAGCAAGACTATGTTGTTGCGTTACCACGGCATTAAAAAGGCAGCGATTCCCAGCAGAGAGCCTTTTAAAATGGAAATTAACATAACTTTTCTGGCATGCAGGCACATCTATTCATGACCTCCCCAACCTCCTGCAGCTTTATGCATCAAAGGCAACTCTAGATCCCCACAGCAGTTCTTTCTCTGTGCCCCGCTGAGGGGTTATCCACAGTGGAAAGAGCTCCTCTTACCTGTCCTCAAACACCAGCTTGGATCTCTGAGACTTGGAGCCGTCTGTGGAGAGCGGGGGCACAGCCAGCTGGTTATCGCAACCCTTTGAGGATTTCTCCTGCAGAGAAGTATGAGGAAAATAACATTTTAGGGAAAAAGAAGCTTTTTTAAAAAAAAACAAAAAAAAGACAGACTTGCAGAACAGGACAGAGTCACAACAAGTTAAAGGTTGGTCTTATACAAATGTAAAACAATCCCACCAAAAATCAGTGATTATGTTATAGTTGTAGATACACACTGCAAGCCATGACCTTGGCTACTCCATTTCTACCCTCAACGACAACTTCCTCCCCACTCCATGCATGCTCTGGTATTTAAATTGCTCAGGGAAAAACACTGCACAACTGGCAAGATGAAAGTCTGCCCTATCTGCAACATTTGATAGGTATCAGAGATAACAAAGGCTTCTCATGCCTACCTTGCCGTCACGTGTGCTGCGCCCTTTTTCCTCTCCTTTTCTATGTTTGGAGGTGGAGCTGCCCTTGGTGCTGTGGCTCCCTTCTTTTCCACTTCCTGTCCCGCTGGACAATGACGTGGAGGACTGGCTGACTGTCCGCTTTCGACTGGGATGCTCTGCCTTAATTGTCCGCATGGAAGGAGAGGGGACTGGCTCCTCTTTCTTTTCCGAAGACCTTTTAGAACTGAGTGGGATTTAAATCAGTATTTCATTATGCATTGTGTCAAACTAGGCTCAACATAAAACATTAAAACTAAAAAGTTAAATATTAACATTTCATGTAATTATAAACAAAGAATGCAGATATGGAGCATAATGGCTAACAGGTACAGCTTGAAGGGGCTCAGATATAATAATAAACTCACTACATTTAGCTGTTATGATGCTCATTAGAATTTACAGGGTTTATTTTGTCTTTTGTGTGATTATCGGAAAAGGCAAAATTAACTACTACTGTCACATTAGGCTCCTGGCTTACAGAGGGTTTACTGGTAATGATATTCAGGACAAAAGCTAAGATTACTCACTCTTTACTGCTGCTTTTATGATGGGATGTAGATTTATCCTCTAGCTTGATCCGCTTGGTCTCTGGCTTTGTGCCTTCCTCATTAGTCTAAAGAAAGATGAGAGAGAAAAATAAAAAGCAGGGTGCATTAAAGAAAAAGTCAGATTTAATAATAGGTTACACGCCTCCAATTATTATCGGAAGACGCCAACTCATTGCAGGTATAGCTCAACTATGCCAGCTCACTGTTATCCTAAATGACTGTTACATTCCAAAATATCCAGTCACAAAGATTTTAATTCTCCATCTTTGGTAGTTGTGTGGCTATGATTAAAGTAAAATGCACAGTCATCTAACAGCGCTAAATCCAGGTCTGGATCTCAACCAGAATGTAGTCAATTGTTCTTTGGCTCAAATGCACTTTCTTGCTTTAATGGAAATCTGTCTGTGTGCTATTCCAAGGGGGGGACGGGACGGGGGGGGGGGGGGGGGGGGGGGGGGGGGGGGGGGGGGGGGGGGGGGGGGGGGGGGGGGGACGACTTAATCGTGAAAGGGATACTCAATAACAAGCTTTTCTATTTTACTCTGCTTTCAAGTACAATGTATTTTTTACAAAAAGCACTGAAATTTGCTCTACCTTGTGTTTCCTCTTGGCCTTGCTCGAGCTTTTCTCAGAGCTCTGTTTGCTGAAGTCTTTGCTGTCCCTGTCGAGAGAGTCTTCCCTCTCCACTTTTATCTCTGCAGGTTCCTTGTAGGGCCGCCCTGGGATTCTGGACAGCAAGCTGAGATCTATGGGAAACAGGAAGGAGAAGGGTAGGGTATGCTTAATTTGGTTCAAAGTAAAGAAATCCCTTTGGTTCAGTGCCCACTACACCTTGACATATTCTGTGGACTTTTTACAAGACTTGCGAGCAGTTTCAACTAACCTATCTTGACTAATAAAACTTGCTGCTGAGGCTGTCTTGCAGGGTAGCGGTCCTCGGGGTCACTGAGAGGAGACAGCAGCCCTCTCTCTTCCCCAGGTGAAAAAACGCACACGGGTGTCCTGATGCTCTCTGTGTACTTGGGTGTCTGGGATGAGGACGGGATGCTGTCATTTCCTTCGGAGTCTGATGATGAAAAGTCTGTGTCAACAAATTCACGAGATTTCTGAGAAGTCTTGGTTGCTGCCTTGGGCTTGCGCTGGGCTGCAGTGCTGGAGGGAGTAGTAGTGGGCCTCGGCGAGGATTTGGGTTCTTTTTTATTGCTTGGTTTGCGTGAACCCTTCGTAGCAGCTTTGGGCTGATGAGGAGGTATCTCTGGAGCCGGCTCACTCTCTACTCTCAGACCTCCCTTTGGTTCCTCTACCACAGGAGGCTTCTCAGATTTTTTAGGCTGCTTTTTACCCACTCGAATACGTGGATTTGTGCCACCCTCGCTCTGTGCGGGTGACTTTTGCCGGCCACGGCCACCTTCTGCACCTTTCTGGGCTGCCCGCAGGTCCCTGCTTGGGGTGGGTGCTGCTGAATCTTTTGACCCCCCTCCTTGGCTACTATAGCTGCGCCCTGAGCTGTTATCTCGGCCATCTTTCTTGAATTTGGGTGGGACGTTATTGTTGTCCAATGGGGATGAAGGTGAGGACTGCTTGGCTTTCTTGAACCAGTTGTCCAACTGCCACTTGTTTGCCATGGGTTTTTCAGGCTGAAGGGGCACAGAGGGGAGCACAGAATTAGGAAACAGTCTCACTGATTGAACTCCTAACAAAATATAAGAGTCTAGAAGAAAGTACCATATATATATTTAAGTGGACAGTGTGAAAACTGGTTCATACAATCCTTAATCAACCAAGCGGTATTACAGCTCTGTATAAAGTTACTGAAAAATTATTACTTCAGGGGAGGCAGGCCGTGGTTGCTCGTTGGCTTCGCTGTCTGTCGTGCTGCTTTCGCTCTCGCTGTCAGAGCCCGAGCTGCTCTCTGAGCCACTATGGCTGCTGGAGTCGTCCCTTGATTGCTCAGCTGCTTCGCTGTTATTGCTGTTCAATAGGAGAGCATTAAACATTGTCATTGTGGTGTATGAGCAAACATCTATACCCCCACATAAAGATTTTAAGTGATCAATAATGGTATTTTACGGTCGAGTCACTAAAAACCTGTGTATGTTGAGATTATTAGTTACCGCAGCAAAAATCTGAATACTTATGTATGCATTTTTCAGGGTTTAGAATCAGTCAGCATAAGGATATTAATGCAACCTGTGTAGTAGCTGCTCAAGAGTCCTTGGGTAGTTCATAGGTTTCAATGCTTTAACTGTCAAGCCACAAGGTGTGCATAAAAACCCCAAGATTTGCATTCTCTGTCTTTCTCCCCACACGCAAAGCAGCTTTGTTATATATTCAGTTTATAAAAAAAAAAAAAGTTGTTTTTTTTTATTTTTATATATATATATATATATATATAAAAATAAGTTAAAACAGTAAGTCTCAACATAGGACTTAGATAAAACTTAAGGACTTAAAAAATGTTTTCTACAGTTTACCTTGCTGATGTGTTCCTTGAGGCATTCTTGGCAGAGTCCTGTTCTCCATCACTGTCCTCACTGCTGCTTAGCCTTAGGTCTTCCTCCAACCTACTGAGATACGGGAATCATTTGTTATTCTTTATATGTCGCCACAGTCGTTTGGAGTTACTGTGATTACTTTTAGCTTCTTAACTCAAATATTTACTGTTCAACTATTCCACTCACTACTGACAAGAAAAGAGAAAAAGAAGGTTCAAAGATGAAGCACTTACGTGGGCTGGTCATCGCAAGTTTTGGCTTGGTGGCTACTCGAGCTCTTTGATGAACTGCCTCGCTCTAAAACACACATAAAAAGATTTATATGTATTGATTGAAAGCCTAGAACATATGCATTTAACTTTACTTCACTATTTTATGTGTGTGTGATACTCACTGTGCCCACTTGGAAAAGGGTGAGTATCCTGAAATTAAAAAAAAATTAAAAGTTAAAAGGAGGTGTTAACTTATTTTCATGAATCTCTGCGTTATTATATGACTTTGCATTCATGAGAAAGATGCCATGATACATTCAATACAAGCAGTAAGTAACAAGTTGACTTATCACATTAAGTAACCTTCCAAAAAACCCTCCTTTTCTTGTCTTATGCAAGGTTTGATTCATACAAATGGAAATAGTTCATCACAACGCAATCACATTAATCAAACAGACACTGCTGCTGACCTTGGTGGGGAATGGAAACTTGGAGGGCTCTGTTTTACAGGGAGTGTGGATGGCCGTCAAAGGAGGGGGCCATGACTGAGTCATTTCCTGAATTTAAAAAAAAGAGAGAGAAAAGAGAAAAGAGAAGGAAAAAAATCCATTAAAATTAGCTTTAAGGTGTGAGTAATCTTGATGGTTCATTCAATTATTTGAAGCAGATGGCTTTTCTATGAAAATGAGAGTTGTGTCTGTACCTTCAGAATTTCGTCGACACAGTTGGCATCACCGGATCCCTAAAGACAGAAACAGCATGCTTATGAGACGTATAAACAACACGATCTCAGTACAGCATGTGTGAGGTGGCTTCCATTTTGAGCCCTATTAGTCATCCTATAGGCATTTTCTGAGAACTAGGAGTTCATTCAGACCATGTGTAACAAGCTGAGAGGTCCTTCAACGTAATCATTACATCATTAAATCAAACACGTGCCACTTCTCTGACATAGTAAGCTATAAATTCTACACAAGCCATTGGTAGGTCGTTTCTAATGTACAATCAAGGTTACACCAGAGGGACACCTCTTGTTTTGAGTCAAGGCAGAAATATATATATTTCTGTGGGTCTAAGAGAAAATGAAGGAATGATCACAGCATGCAACATTCAAAAAGGCATCTGCCTTAAGAGAGACTTCAAAAAGCTGCTCTTGAGGTGATATACAAACAAAGAGCACATTCTTTAAATAGTCAACATACCAGGTTCACAACAGCATGAGATTGAGACTCAGGTCTTACCTCTACAGGTTGGGAAGGGATCTTAAGTTTGGCAAGCTTGGACTTCATCTCTCCCACAGTGCTGCTATGCGACTGTCCAGTGTAGCTTTCCGCTTGCGAACTCTTAGGTTCTGCTGTTTCCTGGCCATCCATAGGCCGCACATAGGCTGTTGGTTTTTGCAGCATTGTGCTGGGCTTGGACATGAGAGATGGGGGAAAGGCCTGACTTGAGTGCTGTCCACTGGGGAAGGACGTGTGAACCCGTGAAGGTGAGTCCCAGTTGGCCTCTCTGTCTCGCGGTGACTTTGAGCGGTAGCGGTCCTTGTTGTGATGCTGCTCAGCAGACAAAGAGCTCCGCGAGTGACTACTGGAGGAACTTAGAGAGCCCTTTGCCGGACTTGACATGTGTGACTTCGAGTGATCGGAACCTCCGCTGTGTTTACTTGACTTTTTTTCCCGCACCTCCCCTCTCTGGCTACTGTTGCTGCTGCCGCCTCCGTTGCTCCTCTGGCTGCTGTGCCCGCCCTGGAGTCCTGAGCGTTTCTGGGACTGGGATGAAGATCCGCCCGCTGCGGGGCCAACAGGGGTCCACTTACTGCTCTGGCTGCTGCCGCCACACCGCTGGTCCCCACCAAACAAAGGTGGACCCGACTTCTCCTCAGAGGAAGACGAGCTGTTGGATGGTTTACTATTAAGTTTTGGAATGGTGTCACCAATTGGCTCTTTCATTTCGTCGTAGTTGCCCAGCATGCTCTGAATACGGCTGGACAGTTTATCTTCCTTGCTCACCTGCAGAGTGAAGCAGAGACGAACAAACAAAAAAAGAGTAATTATTGTGGAGAACACGAGTGAAAAGAGGGAAAGCAGAGAAAAGAGAAGAAGTTCAACATTTGAGGTAAAGGCGCTCAACCAAAAACAGAGGCGCAGTGAGAGGCCTAAACGCAAAGTTCACTTTTTCAGACTGAGCCCAGATCTGTCCAAACCCATCTGCGAACACAGTTACGCTCTGCCCAGACATCCACCACAGAAGATAATCAATCACTCTGAGGCCACGAGTTCCAGCCGACCTGTTTGCAATCAGCCCGTGACAAAAGTCTGTGTAGAGTATCCAGTTTCACACGTAGCCTCACGCTTCAGTTTTGTTTGACAGAGTCACACCGAGGGTGAAGAAATACTAGCCGTTATCTGCAGCAGGAAATGTAACTTAGCTTGGTCATAACGTGCACTCCACTACCTGCGGTCTGCGCTGCCTGGCTCACATATGCGCAGCTAGGTATCACCTATTTTTCTTAATGGCTGTTGGTTTCAATTTTGTTTTAGGCTGTTTTGTTTTGAACAACTGCACTGTTGCTTTCACATAACACACCATTGTTGCGTTATGTTTAACTGAGGAAATTTCTGCGAGGAAAACCTTCAGATTGTAACTCTGTCAAAGCTTTTTTTTTTTTCTTGATAAAAAATGGTGTATAGTAGTTGTTCAACTGCTGAAACTTTCAGAGGAAACCTCCAAGATGACCACAGGAACACTTTTCACCTTTTGGTTCCTGTGTGACAAAAACACTTAGTCCTGCAGCAGTACGGTCTTTAAAGCTGAAATAAATAACTTCAATCATTCACACTTCAACAATAACAAGCTACAAAGAACAAGCTGCTGATTGCCATCTCTTCAACATTTCTTCTGCCATTTTATGATATCCAATAATAACAGCCACAAGTTTTTGTTTTTAATCTGACACACATTTAATTTGCCTATTTTTCGACGCAGACAAATGTTCTTAATAGATTTTTAATTTGCTGAGTCACTTTGGCTTTTTCGGGTCCAATTATATCCTGGTACCGTTAGGGTGAAAGCACCTACCCCATCATATAATTTGAGGGATCCCTGATTTTTATTTTTATTTTTTAAGGAGCCTTTCTAATTGAAAAGAACAGGAAAAACAATATGCGGCTTCATAGATAAGCTTTTATTCTGTGCCGCTGAGAGAGTGCATGAACTCTATGCCATAAAAATGTTACTGCTGTGCTGGTCTACATCTGGGAGGGCACAGCTGCAGCTGCGTGCACACATGGCCTTTAATACAGAACACTAAACTTCCACTTAGTGGAGCATGACAGAGGAGAGAAAAGTCAAACTAAAGCTTATATAAGACTCAGACAAGTAGAGAAAAAACTATTGGACAGACTTAAGCAGTTTGCTTGTTTCAAAATTCTGCTCTGATACTGCAAAGACTGAACACCATCTTGTTCTTAAACATAGTATCAAGTGTGTGAAAACAGCAGATCACAATGTACACGGGTGAAAAGCTTCTTCCTTTGTAAAGGTCAAGGAGTTTTCCATCTTTAATGTCAGCTTTTTTATCTTTGTTGTGGCCCAAAACACTCCTCACTTACCTCTGGTGGCTTTTCAATTCCCAACCTGTCAGAACACATTCCTCACTGCCTCTTTGATGGCCAGCTCGAGCTAAAGAGGGAAGCCACTTACATCTGCTCAAATCTGGTTAGTGGCAAAGATTAGACCAGTACAGAGAACTCAAATCCTCTTTACAATTATATTGGCCGGGCAGGAGCCTGAAGCTGGCTGGTCTACATCTATGTGTGTCTGCAAGCACAAGAGGAAGCTCTGCAAAGAGGAGGCATGTTTTCTGGTCTTTAGTTTGCTTTCAACAACTGTAATGCCAAAAAGCTACCCAATGCCAGGTGTTTTTAAACTGTGCTGTATTTAGTGCAGAGTTGGTGAACTGCTCACAACTATCTGACAAGTATGTAACTCAAACCTCAAATCTTTGTAGAAACATTTGCGCTTTTAATCCATAATTATGATTAGAACAAACACTGCACACAAACCTACCAATTTCCTCTTGAAATCGATGTTGCTGGTGTTCCATCTACTTTCAGTGAAGCTGGATCTTCACTTTCTGAGCATATCTTGCTTTTTTATCACACGTGAAGTAAACAAGATTAATTCAATTCATTTTCTTCAGTATAAATACACTTGGTGGGAACTACCATAAGAAAGGAGCCTGAAGCTAAACACTCATCTTCACATAACCAAAGACATGTTAAAAAAAAAAAAAAAAAGTCATGACTAATTTGCATTGCCACAAAAGCTTCTGATATTATGTACTATTCTCACCACAAAGCTTGACATTCACATGTCAGAATTCATTCCCCTTAAATGCTTGCCACAGGGGGGGGGATTTGTTTTGGGGGGACAACAACAATTCTGAGAAAAACTATAGACTTCAGGCCTCAATGCGTTTCTCCTCCAACTTGTAATTCAGCTCAGTTTCACTGATACATACTGAGAAGAATAGCCTTAAACTTGCTTTTGGGCTATAGTTCACCTTAGTAACAGTGTTACCTGCCTGACAATCCAGAGGATTAACATTTCAGTTGATGTAAATCTACATTTCTAAATAGTTTAGCTCTTGGAACGTGCTTGTTTAAGCTAGCAAGACTTTCCGAAACAGCAGTGTTGTGCTGAATACTAGATCGCTGTAATAGTGTGCAGGAATTTCCCACATTGTAATTGCTTAATTTGCAGGAACTGATTATTATTATGCACAGTCTGACACCTTGCATTTCCAGTTACTGTTACAGACTCCCTTAATATTACTAACCACTTAGGTGCCAGATAAAGTGAACGTGAGTTGAACAAACTTACCACTTTGTAGGGTTCGGGGAAAAGAGGGGAATTTGCTGGGAAGGCCTCTCCTCCTCCCTGCTGGATTTCTTGATTTCGCCTTTCTCGTTCTTTCATTCGGAGCACATTCCGGTCCTCACGGTTCATGTTGCTATCAACACAGAAGAATAACAAGGTAACATAATGAGAAGAAATAATAAACAAACAGCGTATGTCTTTGCTGAACACGGATGCCTGCAGGGGCAGTATATTATGAAAATGAGATCTCGGAGACAAGTGCGGAAGAATTAAGCAAACATATAGTCTTGTTAAAAAGTCAGCTTGGAAAAATAGAAATGGTCAGTTTTTTCTCTTCTGTTTTACCCTTTACCATTTAAAAAACAAACAAACAAAAAAACCAATAAAGTCACAACAAGTATTGAGAAAGATCACACTACCGCTGTGCTCTGCTTTGACTCATTGTTAGCACAAACATAACTGTCATTAGTGAAATCCCACACGTATCATAAACAGGGGAAGTTGTGACCTGTGGAGAAAGTAGGTTCTAATAAGCTTAGCCTAGTCTAGACACTGTGCAGTACCCTACTTCATCTGCAAATAATCTCCTTGTACAGATGGTCAGCACAATTTGCCCCCAGCTGAAACTACCAATTCAATGTTTTCACACAGTGAGAAGGCTGCAGTTTACATACTTTTTATCTCAAAACATCAACAGTTGCAGGAAACGTTTGCGAGCACTTTGTTATTTATGATTGAGATCTGGGTAAATCCAAAGGGTACAAATCAATCTGACTGAACCACTAACATGTTTAAAAAAAATGTAAATAAAAACTTTGAGAAGGTTATCAAAAACAATTTAACTTCTTTTCTAACAGCATCTCAAAAAGCAAATGTTGCACTGATGGATCTCAGATGTCGAAGATGGTCAGCTTGATCACCAAGCGTTTGACAATTACGTCAACAGTTTAGCTTATTTTCCTCTTAATGTATTCAATAAAAACACTACCGGTATTACCTGCAAATTCAACTCAACCTGCCCCATTACCGTTTTAAGTACACATCTCTGTTAATTTAAAAAACAAAAAACAAAAAAAACACCCCAACATATACAAAACAGACACAAAAGGTTAGTGGTTCAGTGCCTACTTGCAGTCACTAATTACAATATGTTAAACCATTCATTGTTGTATGCGATCAAGGGTTTCAGTTAGCACTAGTTTGTTTTCTCTTCATGCTGGAAGCTGAAAATAAACTTGAAAGCATTTCTCTCTGAGCGAAAGCTGCATTTCTTTTGGTTGGGGAGCACAGTATAGTAGATAAAGTAGTACAGTTTAACCTCTTCCTCCACCTGCTATCAGTTCTTCCTAAACAAGGGGGAGGGAAATCACCCAAAACTAATTTGCAGGTTTCCCTCTTAAACGACTTGGTGTTGTGAGCAATGCCTTGACGATAAATATATAATAAGGTTAAAAAAAGCACCACTGAATAAGAAAGGTATACCATTGATAAAAAAAAAAAAAAAAAAATCTCTTTAATAAAATAATCCTTATGGGATAATAAATGAGACAAAAATGTAATTTTCTGGGAAAAATGCACAACTATAGCGAGGCACAGTGGACAGAGCATGATGGTTTTGGCCAAGTTGCTACCTCAGAGCCTATATACTTTACAACTACTGATGGATGGTTTAGAAAGTACACTGTGTCCATGACCTAAAGCTTAGGAGAGGATAATGAATGCAACAAGGCGACAACTCAAAAGCATTAGAAAACAAAGATGAGCATGTCGTCCTGACCTTAACCCAAGCGAGATGCCATCCCAAAATTATTAATCAACTAAAACAGCTTTTTGTCATGTCTCATAACATCTATAACAGTCTCAGAACACTTTTTTTTTTTTTAACAAAATGAGTTTGTACGAATCTTACTAAACTTACCAAACTCAAAAGCTCACTTAATTTGAATAAACAAAAAACAACAACAAAAAACTGTCAGGCTTTTCCAGTGTTATGACTAAATGTGTTAAATAAAGTCACGGAAAGTAAATGTGTTTATTGCAAACTGTGTGACTAAAATGAAAGATCGGGCCACATTTAAGAGCAATCAAATCACAAATTTTTTCTCGTAACCTGTAAGAACCTGATTGCTTTTAAAATATTGGTAATTTTGGGTGGCCTGTGTGCTGGATTTTTGCTTGCAATGAATGACAAAGTTAAAATAGACTGTAATTATCTGCTATGAAACTAGCTGGAACTCACTGGGTCCCTTACAGATAAATAAACACACCCCGTAGTCTGTGTTTTCCTTCTGAACATAATGTGTGTTATTTAATCAGATGAGGAGAAAGTCATAAGGGCAATACCCCTCTGATCGGATGTATGGATTGACACCAGTGAGACAAACATCATTGCGACATGTAATATATCCATGTACACATTATCATGATAACAACTCAGAGCCATTCTAAAACATTACCAAAAATGCTCTGGTAGAGGAGAAATCAGGCACCTCATAGGTGCAGCGAGCCAAAAAAACAAATGTGACTTCCCTCTGCTGTGCACTTTGTTTAACAGAAAGCAACTACAGAGGTTTGAAAATAGAAACAAGCACGCTGTCATCCAGGCGTGTCGCCTCCCGGTTTAAGTCGACAGCTTCAAGCTCTGCCAGTGACAACAATGACTGTAAGGCTGTTGACACAGTGCGATTAAGCAGCAACCATCCGGCCTCCTTGTAGATTCTCAAAACTACACACAGGGTCTTTCTAATCTTTCCCAAGCATGACTAAAAAATGTAAGAAGTGGATGAGAAACTGACTCAACGATGAGGAAATTCTTTATACACAGGGAAGTCAAATGGCGAGAGAGTACACTGGAACCTGAGACTTACGAGGAACCGATCAATCATAAAAAATAAATAGATAAATAAACTGTGTTACAGACTAAACCTTGTCCCCATATGCTGGTCAAGCTTTGAATGAACTATTAGAAAAGCTCATCAGTTAGTCTAAACAGTAATTTCCCAACCAATCTTTTTTTTTTTTCTTAACACGACCTTTAACCGTTTTATATCATCAACCCTGACATCTATGAGTAATGACAACTCCGACGCATTACTCATAGGAGGTATAGGGATTAATCCACTATGGCTAGGGTTCATTAAGCCACACTTACAAAGAAGCGACTAAGTCAACTTTATTTCATGAAACATACCATTAACATCATGATCACCTCTTGACTTAAAGCACAGCCAAGAACTAAGGCTGGAAATTCAAAACCCAAATCCTAGCAACACACTTTGCATGACAAACTTTCTAAAACTGAAGCAGCTATGATTATCATCTACAGATAACATGGCCTCCTGCTATAAATCCTGTCCATAACTTTATTTACATCCATGCACATTTGATTGCTTAGATAAACGAGTGATTTTAATCTGCTCCAGCAGTATTAGTACTACACGTGTGTATATATGTATATTAGTTTGTTGATGTAATGTGGGTGCGGGCCTGCATGTGTGATTAAGCCACAGTGCTAAATGATCAAAGGCTCCAGGCAGGATCCTTTGTAAACAGCTCATTTCCATTCTGCCAACTAACTTACCTGAGTTGTTATTTGTTATTATTTGAAAAGGGTGTGACGCTTTAGTATTACGAGAGAAACTCAACAGCCAAGGAGGCTCAACTGTCTTGTTTGCGCCTCCTGGTTGTTGAACTTCTAACATTTATAATAATTGTTAGTAATAATTGTAGTACACTTTAATTTTAGACTCTTCCCAAAAAATCTCATTGACTTAAAAAATAAATAAATAAAAATCACACTTTCAGAGAAATTACCATGGTCCTATTCACGAAAACTTAAGTTTGGCTTCAGAATAACTGAGAAAGTACTCACTGTACCCAAACAGAAAAAAAGAATGAAAAACAAGTGTTGGTGACATGATATGACCATGTGGCACGTATGTGGTAAGCCTCTGCACTCAATCTGTTTATAGTTTAGTCTTAGACCTGCCTCTAAACGCAAACTAGGCCTCAGGAGTACCAAACCAAGACCCTGATCCTTAATTAAGAAATATGATTAACAAAAAGTTCGAGCAAAACACCATGCCTTTCTGTACACATCAAGATTTTTAAATTGTGAATGAAGAGTAAATCCACAAAATAAAAGGCATGGATTTATTTCTGTAGAAGTGAAACTGTTACCGCACACACAGCTGGTTTTCCACAAACAGTTTTGTGTTCAACATGTCCAAGCAACTAAACCAACACTGTGGATGGTGTTAATCATAATTCCTCCAAATCAACCCATCCCTCACGTCACAAAGGTATTGTTATTCACTTTCAAACTGAATGAATAATTTTATGACTTACAAAATAAAGCGTTTTCCTTTCCAATTTGACCTAGGCCAAAAAGAGCGTACTGTATATACTTCTCAGATATCAGTAGCTGAAAGTGCAAGCTATACAAATAAAATGTCACTAATCGAGAATAAATTCAGCCACCATTTACTTGTGTTGTGTTCAAAACGAGTAAAACCTTACTTTAAAGTCAAGATGCACATGTAGGTGAGCTTTGATTGGCATTTTCCTGATTTACCAAGCCTAAATCCAAACCTTGAGCCACTCCCCTCCCTATTCCAATAAAATAAGATGGATTAACAATAAGAAAAAAGTTTTAAGTTTAAAGAACATTTATTAATATCAAGGTGTGATGGCCAGCTAGGTTTACTGTAGCCATTCAACACTGTGCCAAACTGAAAAGGTCAAAGTCTGAAGGCAGATCACTCTGTACCTAAATGAATCAGCTCGTATGTCTCGTTCTAAAGTACCACATAACAGTCAGATCTCATCTTTAAAAACAAACAAAAAACAGGGAAAAAAAACCCCCCACGATTTTCTCAGTATCACTCAGTACAAGATCTGGCTTCTGGGACACAGCCATTATGTAAGGCAAATCAAACATGTCTCATCTGTCATATTCAAGTATTCACAATAGGATAAAGTTATGTGCTTTAGTCCTACCAGACACCAAGCGAAATGAGTAAAGCAGTTAAATAGCTCTGCATTTCTTACCCTGACTGAGAGGCCATGGCCCCAACCACTGAAACATTGGAAAAAGGAGGGGAGGAGGTTTCACAGGATCTCCCAGGAATTCAGAAGTATTCTCGTCATGACTTGTCAGCCTGAATTTCCACACAAGCCACCTCCAGTCAAGAAAACCTGACCCCTCTTTTTCAAATCTAGATGTATCTGTGGGCGTCCAGCTGAAAGAATGTGACTAAAGTTTCTTTACTCGACTGGAAGGTACTGTGTATTTCCTTGGAGTGGAGACAATTCTGACTTAGGGAGGGGAGGCGACTGCTTGTTCTCGGGAAATACCATGTTGGCAAACAGCGGGGGTTGGTCACATGCGAGGTGAAGGCTACAGAAAGCAGCAGCAGCTTTTGTTTCTGTTTTGAAGATAAAGCATGCATGAAAAATGAGAAAAGTGAGGTGAAAGAAAGAGGTTAATATTGAATAAATGCGAGGGTATATGTGCTATTTAAATGTTTGGAGTGAATGCAATAGATAAATTAGGGATAAGAGACCTAATTTCTCATGTCTATTTTTATAGAAGAGTGCCTGATGTTTGACTGAGAGCACTTTAGGCTGATTTTAATCTTTAAACCCCTCAGAAAGTAGCAGAGGAATAATTTAATCTAAGATAACAAAGCAAGGAGCACAAGCCATCAATTTGAAAAGCCTGCTGAAACACTGTAATAGAAACACAGTTTTGTTTTGTTTGCTTTTTTTAAAAAAAAAAAAGGGGGGTGACTAATAAAACCTTTAAGGAATCTTAAAAGATCACCTAGTCTTACTGAACCTTTTTACACCCTATTCTTACACACAAAATTAAGGAGGAGTGAAAAATTAAAAAGGGGATTATTGCGAAGGAAATTAATGAGCTTGGCCTTAAGGAAATGATTTCCACAACCGCCATGCTGGCCAATTAGAGCATCTACAGGAAAACGGCACTGAAGAAACAGCGAGAAAGGGAATAAATTTCACCTCTCTCCGAGAATGGCACAGTCCACCTCCTCCCATAAAAGGAGATGTTATTTTACACCGCAAAGCCTCTCCTCCAAGTGATGTCACGGCCCTCAGCACAACCCAGCCAATCAGAGCTGCTCTTTCCATCAACAACCTCCCCCCACCCCCCACTATGCCCTGGAGCACAGGGCAAAGCACCCATGCAGCCTGTTAAAGTCACAGCGCTTAGGCATCCAGTATGCTGGGTGTAACAAACATGAGGCTTTTTCATATGATGACGAAACATGCTGACAAGTGTGGCATCACCGCAAGCTGTGAGGATTTTTATCTGGTACACAAGCTGACAAAATGATGCCACTTCTGTTCTTGACTTTCAGCAGATGTTTATCATTAATCAAGAACATTAAAGGGCGGGCTTTTAGGTACAAGTGTTAAACATTCATTTATTGCTTTCAACAAAAATATATCTGAATTTGATGACATCTTTACAAGGTTTTGCCCTCATTATCTGAGGGTGCTTTGATTTAATTGCAGAGAAATTCAACTTCAATAATCTCATAAATTATGACAGTTTTACATGAATTCTATGCTGACTGTGCCAATTCTTCCCCACACACAATGATGCACGCTGTGCTGTTTGCTTGTGGCGTTATTTAAAGTATTAAAACGAAGGCCGGTCTCCAAACTTTGGGAAACTCCATTTGATGGACTTTATAATAGACACAGCTGATATAAATAGTCATCAATGGATACCAAGGCTGTACAGTCCTGCCAACAGCTGCATGTCTGTATCATCAGGCTTACGCTCTTAGAGATACTGTACTGGCTGGAATTATTTCCCATTCATGCTGAATCTGAAAGCACAGTGTGTTAGTCTGTCATTTCTCAGCACTTCCGGCAATTACATATGCCCTCTACTTTTATAAATAGAAGCAAAGTACTACCCTGAGAGGATTTAATCAATGACCAGGCTCATGAAGTAGAAAATGTTAACAAAAGGTTTACTATGCACATTACAAATGGCTCTAATTTTGTATTAAAAGCTATGAGCTGTATGCACATCAATTCATTTTGGATATTAAAACATAAATATTGCATGTTCAGTGAGTCTTGGTTAAGCAAAACTACAAGTGTCATCGATCATAACTGGTTTCCAGGACTTTACAGCACCTTAGATTGCTCTACAGAAAGTATTCTGTAGCAGGTGCAGATGGACAGCCAGTGCCACCACCACTACCACCCCCAGTGCTTTTGAAGCAAACCTGCTGACTGCAGGAATTCCAGAGGGAGCGTCCATTCAAATGCAGCAAACCTGCCCTCTATACCAGCTGTTTGGTGAGGACTACAGGCAAAAATCACATGCAGCTAGGGCAAGAAGACTAAGAAGAAGTGTTGGGAAAAACTGGAGTGACTTTCAATCACTAAAACATGCAATACTTTTCATTAAGAAAACCCTGCAAGCCATATTTCTGTATCAGCATTTCAAGAGGAAAGAAAAGGGCTTGATTTTCCTTGAGACTTTTATATCAAAGTGCAGATGAGGAATTTTTGAAGAGGGCAGTATCTTAAATTCCCGCTTCAATTAAAAGAATTCAATATTTCTATGTGGCTGCACATTAGCTCCAATTAGCATATCAAAACAAGTCCCGGGTCTTGATTGGCATGTTCTCTAAACAACTGCTTATGTCCTTTCATTAAAGCAGGATTGAAGCATTTGAACTGACTCGCTGCCTGGAAAGCCTCCACTCAGCAGGCGTGCATTATCTGAATAAGAGGGAACTGGCAGCATTTACCAATCACAGGCTCAGTGCTGAGACTGTTGTGCATTTACACAGCTAATTAACTCATATTAATTTAGGAGCTTTTTATGTTTAACATTCAGTAAAGCTGTTTACCAAGAGCAAAACGGTAAATCAGTCTCTTCATGGCACTGTGAAACAGATAAAAAACACTTAAAGTAGTCATTTTCTAAAGCTTTTCTAAAGCTCTTCTAAATAACTTAGGTATCTAGTAGGCAAAGTAAAGTAGTAGGTAAAATATACACTCTAAAATCTAGAGTAACTCTTACAAACAAAGCTAAAAAGTACCAGGCTCGAAAGCTCATTTGGATTTTACCTAGGTAAACATTGTCACGTGAACTCAGAAACAAAAGAAATGCTCTCACTTGCAGGTTTGACACAGATAACATAATGTTCAGTGTACTTTTTAGGCCACATTGTTAGTGGAACATGACACCCAAGCCTCAGTTATCTTGGCAACATTTCCAAAGGATCTGCGTCATTCAAGCTCTTCAGAAGGCACAACACAAGCCTGTCAAGAGGTTTTTCATTTTTAACCTGCTTCTGATCTATTGTATGATTTTTAACTCAGCAGACTGAGCAGCAGTATACGAATAATATTTAAGCAACATGGATTATACCGCAGAGAGAGAGAGGGAGAGAGAGAGAGAGAGAGAGAAGAAGCCATTTCGTGAATATGCATTTCATAAGGTTTTAGCTACCCATCTTGAGTCTATCAGACCTTCCTTTAGTGTGATGAAACAATCTACCGAAGAATAAACCATTCCTTAGTCATTTTTTACCTTAAAGAAACTACAATTATCCAGTCAAACTAAATCTTAACCTTTAAAACAGCAGGCACTTTGCAAACTAAAACTGTAACAACATGCAAAGATTTCCTGAAGTTAATAAAAGGTCAAACAAGACTGCAGTTCTCTCTACTGTGTAATAATTTCCCATCCATCAGTCTCAGCTGTATTACTCAGAGAAAAGTCTGCACTACATCTAAAGCTGAAATGTCTGTCACTAACCTCCAAACATCCAAATAAACTCTCTCTTGTAGCTAGAATAAAGGCTCAGTTGTGGTTAAATGGAGGAGTGAAAACCTGCAATGATAAGCCAATTAACTGAAGTGCTGTCGAAAAATGAATCAGCAAATATTTTTGATAAGGGCACTGAGCGGAAATTTTCGTAATTTCTAATCAAAAATGTGCTGGTTTCAACTTTTTTGGGTTTCACACTTGTTGATGTGAACATTTGAAGCATCACCACGGAAATGGGTGTAAATATATACAAAGCACTTTTCAACATTTTATAAAAGAAAGAAAGAACATAAATCCATGAGATTAATCAATAATGAAAATAACTGGCAGCTGAGCCCTAAAATGTAGACAATTATTTATGCAAAATGTTCACATAAGACGCTTAACAATATAAATCTACAAAATCCACATTTTATCTGCGTATTGCATAAATTCATACCTCTGACTCTGGGATTTGTTTCTGTTTATGTTCCTAATCCATTTGTTATTTCCTTCAAAGCACTTATCCTGCTTAAAACAAAACAAGAAGAACATACTGTGGCAATGAATTTCACTGCTATTTGAGACATATTACTGCTGCCACCGAAAAAGACTGAGGCTATTATCGTTCCACTTTAAAAATAGTATTATAAAGCAGTATCTCACAGCACCAATCTATGCCAGATCTGTGAAATGAAATGGCCTTAATGAGCTTCACCTTCACAGGACTGTAAAGCCACATGAGAGTTTAACTCGCATCGCTGAGAACAAAAGCTGAAGAACAGATGCATGAGGTCAGGACACAGTGAACAGCATATTTCTCTGCTGCGTGAGCAACAGTACTGAGGGATAAAAAGAGAGCTGCTGATGTCTGATTAGATTCGGGCTAATTAAGCTGGCAGACTCAGAAAGAGCCTTCAAACAAGTTACTCTCAACAAGCTTCTCTTTGTACAGGAAATAAGATTTGATTATGAAACTTACAAACCTTAGCTGACCACACAATTAACTTGTACTTTGGGTCAGGTTAAAGAGGAAAAGGTAAATGCTAAAAAGCTGTAACATCTGCACAATGCACAAACCAGACAAGTGCAACACCTTAAAACCATTTCTATCATCAACAGAAGAATAGCTTTTCTCTTTAAAATTGTGGCTAAAGAGGCAATTCTAAGCTTTGGATTAATTTTCCTCAAATGTAGGTGCTCAGATTTGAAATTGTGTACAATGGGCTGCAGTTGAACAGTCTGCAACTAGACATTGCTCACTTCCCAAATATCCAACCAGCAAAACAACAGTGGAGTACATCAGGAATGTACAATAGGTGTGCCAAAGCCAAAGAAAACATGCATGCACTGCTCTGTCTGGAACGGACAAACAAGTCGCATAACATCTCGACTGAATGTGTGCCCTTCGCCTTGGCCACAGGGGAAACTGTTAAACTGAAGCCTCACAGCAAAACCCAAACAGGAAGTGAAGAGGATTTCACAGTAAGCCGCGTCACCAGTAGCACATTTACACATTATTGCAAACAAGGTGTTTACATCGCTGCTCCAGAAACTCTTTCCCCCCTTTTTAAAGATTCTTTTAAACTAACAAAGCTGGTATCTAGAAGTCATCTAGCCTCAGTTGAATGTCAAGTATGCTTAAGGTTTTCTTTGGTGCTTCGGTGTCCGGAAACCCAAAACAAAGACTATCACATCCAGACAATGTACAGTCACATGCATCAACCTTATCTCTCTGCTCAACACTTTCATTTAAAAACAAAGGCATGACACATATATGAGCTATTTTTAACAGTTTAAAATAGCATGTTTTATCTGGATTAATTTTCCGTCTACAACCTTTGAAGTAGCTCCAACACTTCAGTTCAGCTTTCTAACTTACTGCCATCAACACAGCTCTTCAAGCAAGCCTGGTGATGGCATTATGTTTCAAGCTGCTACTAAGAGTATTTCAATTGTATAGTCAAACAAGTGGGTGACCTTCTGTGTATTAAAATACAGTAAGAGCGCCAACCAAGGGCTACACTGTAGTTAAACTACTTAACAGCGCACACAGAAGAGGTTTTAGCCTTGTACCAGAGGAAAATCACCACGTCGGTGAGACATGAGGTGTAATTTACTAATGAAATAAACTCATTATTTGTTAAAAGCTGTCTGTAATGTAGTCTAGTCATAGTGTATAATCACCTCTCAAAGGTCCATTTTTTGCTATAAAAACCCCAACTTTATTTACTATTTGTTTATCTTCTAGAGTGGAAGCTGGAGTTTCAGACTGCACTATTGCCTGGCATTTTCAGAAAATTATTGAATATAAAACAGCAGTTGTCCTAAACCAGCCAAGTACTGCAGCTCACTCCACTGTATGAGGGGGAGGGGGGGAGAGAGAGAGAGAGAGAGAGAGTTTTTTCTCTGACATAATTGAATCCGACTGCAATATCAACACTCCTGTTATGTCTACATAACAACAAATCAACAACTGCAACCACAGTTCAAGTACAGCTTTTGCTCCATCCACCATCTGACTAAAGTTGCTGAGCCGGTTCACAGCTACCTGCCGTGAACGAGTTCATGACCTTAGGGCATGAACTCGTCCCCCCTCCCGACTAAGTGCAGCCAACCATAATAAGTCAGTTGGTTGCACTTTCCTTGTCTCCATGCGTCAAGCCCATCCCTCCACATGCGTGCATGAACTACCCGTGACAAGTGTTAAGAGGAACTCTGGACTTATCACGCATTTTCTGGCCCTTCCCCCCTAACTATGGCACGTAAAATGGCTTCCTAGAAAAGCACATCAGCTGATCCTTCGCTCAACCAAAGCATACATTCGGATTAACTGTGCTGCCCTTCTCTCCAGTGTTGATTTTCCATGCAAATAAAGACTTTGACTGGACACAGCAAGGAGTGGCACTAGGAGTTAGTAATACAATAAAGGAGGAGGATACGAACCTAAAACTTTATGCTCGTCGTCACTGTGCGAAAAATAACGAGTATCAAGAGCCAATGATTACCTAAAACGACCATAAACTAGCACAGAAAGTACAAACAAGTAGCACTTATGTCCCATTGTTTGATTCCCCAGATGCTTTTTAATGGAGAGCGAATAGTCTGTATTTCAAATGCAAAGGAAACATAGTATGTTTATCATTTGCACGTGTAGTATCATATAGTTATCCCGCCGTCTGTAAGAGCAAACTTAGGTGTATAAGTTATGTCAGCCACGGATAAACACAAACATCAGTCGTCATGACCTGTTAGCTGCCATGACAGGAACAAAAACATTACTCCTATCACCGCGATATTTTCCCCCACTTCCTTGCATAGAAACGTATAAAAGTAACATCTACCCATCCCATCCATCGAATAATTAAAGTCTCCTTCCACCAGAACACCAAAGCAGGTACAATGTCCAACCAAATCATTAGCAACTGGCTAGCACGCTACCTACACGACTACCTGCATATCTGCTTTAGCATAACGTTGGCTAGCCGGACCCTGCTAGTAGCGTATTAAGGCTAGGCTAGCTAGCCCTGAAGCTACTGATTTTTTTTGGCGAAATTCTAATTAGCGTTCACTTCAAATATCAGATACCCTCTAATGCAGTAAAACACCAACTAACGTCTTCCATCAAAGTTGGCATCCTTACCTCTTGTCTTCTTTTTAGGCCCAAACCATTCTAGCTATTGGAAAGCTCTTTTTCTCTTTGTCTTTTCCACTTCCAGTTACACGCAAAACGGATTCAGAAAAAAAAAATGCTCTAACGGCTAAAATACTAAAACCAAGTGGATGGTCTTCATCTTTTCCTTAAAACACGACGACACATCGAGAGGGAAACAAAATAAAAATCATTTTCTCTCGCGTTCATTTTTTGGTTACTCCTGAACTGATAGGTAAGACTGCTAGCTAAGTTAAGCAGCCAGCAGGTACCACCACAGACAGGACTGAATGCATGGATGGCAAAGCGGTGGTGCATTCGCGCTGTCGGAAATCTGTCAATCCCACCATCCGACACAGTAAACACTGTCATAAAGTAAATCTTAATTAACACGTCAGCACCGCTGACGATGTCTTTAAAAACACGATTGAGCCTTCTTAGCAGTTGCGAGTTTTATTTTTTTTTATCGTACCCCTCGGATAGCTCTAAGTAATTCCCATTCGGTGTGAATGCAGCATTTCAGTGACGCGCAAGGTTGACCAGACTTTGACGTTTAGGAAATCACGTTTCATTGTTCCCTGATTGTACCATGGACAGCAGGTTATGGCAAACCGTACCCTGCTTTTAATTCATAGCTCATCTAATCTTTAACACACACCCTAGTTATCTAGATTTAGCTGCCCGCGTCCATGATTAATAAGTAAATACGTTTTAAATAGTAATATGATTCATTTTTTAATCTTTCAAACAATGACTTACTTTGTGATGTCTTACTCTGCCTCCAACTTCACACCTTTAGTGGATGTGCAATAATATGTCTGACTTTACAGGTGCCTATACGCAGCAAAAACTGACATTACATTGGTTAAAAGGCTCAAAGCAGCTTTTGGGTGTCCTGTAACCTTATTGACTGTCTGTGTTGGATGCTAAACTCTATGTTTATATTTTAATTACTACAAAACAATAATTTTACAAGATTTTATATTATCTTTGAAGACAACAGCACTTCCCACTAATACTGCCTGACATGGACATAGAATGAAAAGAAGGAAGTGGATCCATTTTCAGTTCTAAGGTTTCAGGCATCAGGACATAATGTAAAATAACATCTGGTCCTTAGTAGGTCTTAAAATAAGGTAAATGCAACCTCAGTTAAACTTGAAAACGTGACATATTACACTGTTATTATTTATTCATCAAAAATTGAGTCAAAAAACCAAAACGTGTGAGAAACTAAGTACACCCTGCTTCATCTCAGACTCTAAAGGCCTTGGTTAGCATGTTAAATGTTAAAGCTCATGAGAGTACAGTTACAAAAAGATTGAACAAGTATGTCTTGTTTGGAAGGGTTGCCGGAGAAAGCTTCTTCTCTCTTACAAGAACAGGCCAGCACAGCTTAAGTTTGCAAAGTTGCATCTAAACAAACCACAAGAGCAAACTCCTTAAACATATCAGTACACAGTGAAGATGTTTGGCCATAATACGCACTGTAAACTTAGAACTGAACTAGCATATCAACACCTCACACCAACTGTGAAGCATGGTGGTGGAGGTTTGATGATTTGAGGTATTTTTGCAACCACCGGACCTGGAAACTTTGCAGTCATTGAGTAAAAGGTGAAGCCATGTGACTGTCAGCTAAAGCTTGGCTGAAATTGAGTTGTGCAAGAGGACATTGACAGCAAAGCATTAAATCTGCAACACAATAACTGGAAAAAAAAGAAAGAATCGAGGTGTTGCAATGGCCGAGTCAAAGCGCAGACCTCATCCTGATGAAATGCTGTAGCAGGAACGTTGAGCATAAACAAACGCAATGCAACGGTAACCCTCAATGAAATTAAACAACACTGTAAAAAAAAAAAAAGAAAGAAAGGAAAAAACGAGTGGGCCAAAATTCCTCCACAACGTAAGCAACTGTCAGTCATACAGAAAATGATTACTTCAACTTATTCTTGCTAAAGGCGGTTTTACAAGCTACTGGATCATAGGGTATACTTGGTTTTCCCACACACTGCTTCTGTAGTTTGGCTAAGGTTAAAAATGATTTACTATGTCATGTGTCGTTCATATGAGGTTGTGTTGAATAATTTTAAGACCTGCTGACACAAGATGGGTTTTTCTTTGTTATGTGCAGATTAAGGTTATTATAGCTAGCTAAAAATTAAAACTAAATACTTTTATTAAAAAATAAAATAAAGCATATTCAGGAAACACCCTAAGTTTAAAAAACAATTGTTACAACTTGCCTGATGAGGCATTGATGGATGTGTTTATTAAGACTCTAGATGTCATCAAGACCGAGTCAGCTTTGTTTTTACTGCAATCCTTGGTTTTCCTGAAACTGACATATCCCCTCCCTATATTGATAATAAAAAGACTAAAATGATCAACTGAAAAAAACTAAACTGAAGAAAGAAAATCCTCTCTGAAAACTAACGGCAACTAAACGTAAAAACAAAGTGAAAATGAAATGAATTAGAAAATGCAAAACTACAATAACCTGTATTTCACATGACTATATGCTGATTTAAAAAATATTTTATTTGTAAACTCGTGAACAAAAAGACTGTTTGACATTTTATTCCTAAACCCATATATCTAAAATCATATAATGCGTTTCTTTTCCCCCCCTTTTTTTTAGCAAAATAAAAATTTTACAATAGCAAATTCAAAAAGGTTTTTAAAAAAAAAAAAAAAAAAAAAAAAAAAAAAAAAGCTTTACAGTGAAACAAGCAAATCCAATTCCCGAGCAACAAGAGTTTTTTGTGTGCGTAACTAATTTTATTCAGACTAAAACACAACTGTTATATAATCTTTTATACTGAGGTTGTATCATGTCTTTTCAGTTCTAGATATGCTGCTGTTTTATAAAGATTTTGAGCTGTACAGATTAAGTTTCACTAAAAATATACTAAAGTACAAAATCACAAGATTTCATTTGATTAATCACATTCGTTGCTTTGGATATTTAAAGTTTGTATCCTTAATAGACCTAAAAATTGAAGAAAATATCCCACTAGTAGAAGTAACACTGGAATTGCCTTATTTCTCTTTTGTGACATCGTGTCTCCTCTCCTTAGTCCATATCCACTCAGTTGTTGTTGTTTTAATAAGGAGAAAAAAAAGAAAAAAAAGAAAAAAAATCAGGAAAAGAAAAATAACAACAAGAAATCCTGCTGATTCCACAATGTTTATTTCTTCTTTTTCTTCTTCTTAGGAGGTCCTTGATCCGAATCGCTGCTACTTCCTGAGTCTGAGCTGTCTGAGGACGAAGATGAGGAGGACGAAGAAGAGGATGAGGAGGAGGAAGAGCTGTCATCGTCGCTGTCACTGCTGCTGTCATCTGAAGAGGAGCTGGAGGAATCGCTGCTGTCTGACGATGAGTCACTGGAGGAGCCGCCTGAGCCGCTGCTGCTGTCGCTCGAGTCTTTAGCCCTGAGAACAAGTGGAGGAAAATCTGAATATCCAACGCTGAACACCAGAGGTTTGGTTATTAAGGTCTCAGGCTGTACCTGTTACAGTCCCTAAGGTGCATCTCACTTGCTGTAATACTCCGTTTACAAACACTGGAACTCAGAGGACACAACGTCAACTACAAGTGCTGATTTTGCATACCTGGAACATTACATGCACACCAATTTGTTTTCTCACACGCGAATTCTAGGAAAATGTGGGTTGGGACATTATCCAGAGTTGCCCTTTCACACGTGTAGCGTGATGAGATAATACATGTAAGCTGCATTTTTTCCACGATGGGGAAATTGGTGCAGCTGGGTGTCATGCAGACTTCGCGGATGCACACGTGACAACGATTTTACGGTTTTCCTTTTGGATGCTGAAAAGACCAGAACAGTCGCACGATGATAATCAGGCCTTTATCTGCCTCTTTTATGAGCAGGGAGTGACAGTGTTATAATTCTGAACAGCTACTTTCATATACCCCTGTTATGTCTGGTACTGATGGGATTTGATGGCATTCTCCCCTCCGACCCTCAAACAAACAAGCAAGACTAAGAAAGTCACAACACTTGGGACAGCAGAACTTTGAGAGGTTTTTCAAGTCGACTCTGGCTTAAAATGCATTCAAGTGACAAACTTTTTTTTTTTTAAAAAACCACACATATTCTTATAATGCTTTTACAACCATTGAATAATTGCTGTGTCAGGCACCCTTACCACCAGGGGGCAAACTTTTGAGTCAATCTTCAGTTAAATAGACCCAAACGGGCACTCTTACTGCTCTCAAAAGAAGAAGGTTAATTCATTTGGGAAAGATAAAGAGTGCTCAGCTGAAAGGAGTGCTGTGGCTGTTTTATGGCTGTCGCAGTAAGAAACGCAAAGGTGTCAAGGAGGAAAAGACAAAAAAAAACCCCCAACAAAACAAAAAACAACAGGTTTTGGTGTAGCTGCTTCAGTTTCACAGTCCTGTTTTTGCACATGCTGGGAGAACAAAACAGAGACATTGTGACTTGTTATTAGTAACAACTGTGCTTTTGCTGTAATCACAGCTCAGACTACAACAATGGTGTTTCTAACACATCGCTGTGATGAGACCAGAATCTACCATTAAAAAATTAAATAAAAGTTTTAATGCATTTTCAACGGATAAACAAAGTGTTTAAGATTACCACAAATGACATTTAGAACAGTTAGGTTGATGGATTAGACATTATGGCTATGAGACAAAACACTGCAATCTTTAAGAGATTTGAAAAGGTTGCAAATGTAGTGATGTGCAGTCACCAAGAGCTTCCACAAGAGGGAGCTGTTTAGGGACGTTTCACTCACTTAAAACAGACTGGTTTTAATTAAAGTTTCAAAACAGGGAAGCAGCTCCGAAACAGATACTCAGGGATGCCAGCACCTTGCTGGAATCCCTCGCTGAGCAAATTGTAACACCAGGTTACACAACTATAGCTCCCATGTGACCTCATCGACTTTCAGGTGACCAAGTGTGAGCACCAAAAACAAACTAAGTCGTATCG